GATGTTTTTGGGAATTGTTTTAGATGTACAGAAAAGTTGCCAACATAGTACCTTGGCCCAACTTCGCCTAATGTTCACACCATACTTAATCGTGGTACATTTGTTGAAACAAAGAAATCCCTTCAGCTTTTACAGGTGCCCTGGTGTCGAGTGGCAGACGCAGGCTCCTCTGATGTCCCCCGTGCCTGTAGTGGGGAGTTCTGTCTAAAGTTTGCATGATGGAAATTGGGAGCATATTCTCCCTTACCCCCCAAATCATGATTTTGTGAATTTCCCCGTCAGAGCACTGAAGACAAATTAATCAAGAACATCCTGAAACACATCATGAATTGGTTAATAGCACTGTAGAGCTCATCATACCAAGTCACCACGTCTGTACCCGCGAAGGCCTAACGAGCTTTGGTTTTGAAGCGCTCCGGGGTCTCGGACATGCACTGCAAGACTGAAGTGGTGCTGCTTTCTCCGGGGGTCCCAGGGAGAGTCCTGGGCACCCTAGTGTTAGGCGGGCTCACCTCCTGGAGTTCAAGGGTAAGAGCGGGCAATGTGCCTTAGTCATCCTTAGAGGGAGTAACCATTAGAGCTGTTTTCCAGACAGCGGTCATCTTTCTCTGGGTGAATCCCAGGCTCCCCAGGGATAGGCTGATAAGGAAGCCTTGGGTCCCAAATGGCCTTTTCCTAGAGCCGCGTAGATTTCCCGCGGATAACCGGGCGGTGCCCGGGGCTGAGGCCAGCTCCTGGTGCCTGCTCTACCCCGGAGGAGGAGCCTGCTGCTTTCTGTGACCTCTTTGCGACTGCGGATTTTCTCAGCGATTCTGGGGATGACGGACATGTGATGTGTGATGTTCGCTGTGCTGATGGTTTCATCCTGGGTACATATCTATGTCAAAATGTATCACATTACAGGTTGTAAACAAATGCAAAATTGCATATTTTAAATATATGCAGCTTATCAACTCTAAAACAAAGGTTCAGAAGAGGTTTTACTCGGCTTCTAGAATGAGGAGGAGGCAAGGACATGCCCTGTTGAGCCATGGGTCAGTTTGTATCATCAGAAGCACAGACAAGAAGACTACAATGTCCTATGCTATATGCTGTGCCTTCTCCTCCTTCCAACTTCTATTTATTTATTTATTTATTTATTTATTTATTTATTTATTATTTTTTTTTGACAGGCAGAGTGGACAGTGAGAGAGAGAGAGACAGAGAGAAAGGTCTTCCTTTACCGTTGGTTCACCCTCCAATGGCCGCTGCGGCCGGCGCACCGCGCTGATCCGATGGCAGGAGCCAGGTGCTTCTCCTGGTCTCCCATGGGGTGCAGGGCCCAAGCACTTGGGCCATCCTCCACTGCACTCCCTGGCCACAGCAGAGAGCTGGCCTGGAAGAGGGGCAACCAGGACAGAATCCGGCGCCCCGACCGGGACTAGAACCCGGTGTGCCAGGGCCACAGGAGGAGGATTAGTCTAGTGAGCCGTGGCGCCGGCCCTATTTATTTATTTTTTTAAATTACTCTCAGGGCCAGTGCTGTGGCATAGCAGGTAAAGCCTCCTCCTGTGATGCCAGCATCCCATATGAGTGGTGGTTTGAGTCCTGGCTGTTCCACTTCCAATCCAGCTCCCTGCTATTACACTTGGGAAAGCAGCAGAGGGTGGGTCCCTTGCACCGACTCGGGAGACTCGGAAGAAGCTCTGACTCTTGGCTTCTGATTGGCCCAGCTCCGGCCATTGCAGCCATTTGGGGAGTGAACCAGCACATGGAAGATATTCTCTCTCTCTCTCTTGCGCGCACGCTCTCTCTCTCTCCCCCTGTTTCTTGTAACTCTTTCAAATAAATAAATAAACCTTAAAAAAATAGTGTCCTCATCCATTCCAGGGAATGCTCGTTTTCCTCACTCAGGCATCATCTTTGAGTCTTTTCTCCCTTTGGCCTTGACACAGGATAGAAGCAGGCCCCTCCTAATCTGACACGGATCCATCTCCAGCTCTAAACCAGTCAGGAGCAAGGGGCATGCGGAACCTCACTGCAGCTGACCTCCCTGGGGCTGACAGCAGTAAGCAACACGGACAATCTGAGCGTGTCGTGTGCCAAAACCCCAACAGCACCTGTGCAGAACACGGAGCAGGGTGCACACTGAAAAGTGTCGTATGCCAAGGAGGAGGAGCCAGGTTGTATGCCAGGGATGCAAATCAAAGAGTCATGTGCCGAGGGGAATCTCCAGGGCTCCCCAGTCCCATAAAAGCAGCTGTCCAGCTCCCAGGGGAGAGCGAAGCAGCAGAACCTCCTCCCACCATGCTGTCCCGCCTTGTTCTTGAGCATAAGCCCCAATAAACCTTGTCTGGTTTGTTCATTGACCTCTTGACAATTTGTGTTTGCAGATGAGTCACAGAACCGGGGGTTGGTAACAGACTCAGGAGTGAGGGGGGCCGAGGCCTCCTTTGGACCCCCACTCTCTCTCTTGCCATTCCCACTATGCCTTCTGGGAAGAAAGGAGAGCACTCTGTCTGTCCACTAACAGTGGTCTCAATTCATTGGCTAGTACTTCCCAGGAAAAGTTCTTTGGGAGTGTACCCATAGAGGAGTTCATCAAGACAAACTCTTGTGGTGGGCATTTAACCTAGCAGTAACACGTCTGTGTCCCACATCAGAGCACTGGGGTTTGCGTCCCAGCTCTGACTCCTGACTTCATCTTCCTGCTAATGCAGACCCTTGGAGGCAGCAGGTGATGGCTCAAGTAGTTGGGTCCCTGCCATCATTCACATAGGAGACCTGGGCTTAGTTTGTAGCACCTGGCTTTAGTCCCAGCCCAGTCCTTACTATTGCAGGCCTTTGGGGGGGAGTGAATCAGCGGATGTGGGCTCTTCCTCTGTCTCTGACTCTCAAATAGATTTACAAGATGGAAAAACCCAGCAAGTCCTGTGGAACCTGCGTGTGGAGGCTCTCCACCGTCTAGCCTAAGCTTCTCGTTGCTGTGCCTTCCCCGTAACTCCCAGGTCAAGTCTTCCTTCAGTGGGGCAAGTTTCCCCCTTAACCCAGTTGTATGCTGTATGCTTGGCCTGTTCTCCACCTCGCTCGTGTTCCTCTGCCACAAGAAATGTAGGTTCTCCTCACGTTAGGGCAAATACCACTGGCCCTAAGACAGCTCAAGCTCCATCTTTGCTCCAAAGCTTTTTGGGCAGCTGGAGTCAGGAACTTTATCCCTGTCTCCCACAGAGGGTGCAGGGACCCAATTACTTGGCCATCACCTGCTGCCTGCAGGAATCTAGAATGAGAAACTAGAGGCTGGATTAAACCCAGGTACTTTGATGTGGGATGCACGCATCCTAAACAGTTTTACTATACAAGACTGCTTATATATAGTCTTACTATACAAGGTGAGCTAAATGCCTGCTCCTCCTGGAGGACTTGATGAATTCTCCATCACATTCATTACAATTTATTGGACAACTGTTTATCTGATAGTTGCTGGGGACGCGAAGATGCGTCATTAACCTCTGCCTTTTGGTTTTGGTCTTCTCTCTAAATCCCAAGAGAATGATAAACCAAGATAATCCTGTGATTTCTTAAGCCAGAAACATCATATGTATACTTTTTCTTTTAACCAGGGACTTGAGAATTTTAAGCCTGGGATTTAAAGTGAGTGTGGATGAAGGATTGGACACACAGAGGATGGGTGAAAACATTTTTTTGTAGCTGTTTGTGGTTGGTTCTTGTCGGGCTTAATATAATGTGTATGGGTGACCAAATATTATTAAGTATGATTCCTAAAAATACAGGTTCTTTTTTTAAATAAAAGAGATTTATTTATTTAGTTGAAGGGCAGAGAGAGAGAGAGAGAGATCTCCCATTCCCTGGTTCACTCCCAAAATGCCCACAATAGCCAGAATTGAACCTGGCTGAAGCCAGGAGCCAGGACTTCTGTTCTATGCAGGTCTCTCACATGGGTCAGGGACCCAAGCACTTGATCCATCATCTGTGGCCTGTAGGTGCATTAGCCGGAAGTTAGATCAAAATGAGAAGAAGGACCGAATCCCAGGCACTCCAGTATGGGATGTGGGCTTCCCAAATGGCAGTTTGACCAGCGGGACTGCAACACCTGCCCCACATGTGTTTTCTTGTGTAGTAAACAGCAGTGGCTGATTAATGTGGATCTAGGAAAGATTACTTTAAAAAAAAAAAACAACTCTTTGCTTAAAAAGCAATATGTGTGAAAAAATACTCTGGGGACTCTGGGGCAGGCATTTGGCACAGAGGTTCAGATGCTGCTTGGGATGCCGTGTCCCATACTGGAGTGCCTGGGTTCAAGTTCCAGCATGCCCCTGACTCCAGCTTCCTGCTGATCTACACCTTAGGAGGCAGCAGGGGACGCCTCAAGTACGTGGGTCCTCATCATCCGAGTAGGAGACTTGAACTGAGTTCCGGATCCCTGGCTTCAGCCTGGACCAGTCCCAGCTGTTGTAGGCATTTGGGGAGTGAACGAGTGGATGAAAGATCTCTGTCTCTCCACGTCTCTGCCTTTCAAAGAAATAATAATAATAAATAAAGTCATGGCTTCTTTGAAAAAAATACTGTGAAATATAGAAAGACATTTGGAAAGGCATCCTCCGATTGGTGATGACACAAAACACTTCTTTTTCATCCAAATTTTCTATAGCAAGGACCGTTATTGTTACACCCAGAGAGACATTTTCATTTTTGGGAAAAACACAGGGATATCAATTAGGTGCAAATGCAGATGGATCACGTTAAGAGACAGAGCAAAATTGACTATTCAAAGGGCTGCTGTCTGGTTTACTATAGAGTGTGGGCTGGAATGGGCCATATCTACAGGGACCTTCAGCAGATGTGGCCTCAGTGATTGTGGTGTTTCAGGGTAAACATTAGAAAAATAAACAAACGAGCGAACTAATGGAATGTGATAGACAGGGTGCCTGACTAATTGCCATAAGTGCTCTGCGCCCCCTCCACCCTTTTTCCCCCCCATCAGAGGCCCAGAAAGGACTTTCACCTCCAGGTCTGTTACTCTGCCTTCTCTCACTGCGCAAAGCCGGTGTTCTGAATCATGAATATGATTTGCCCTTGGCGTACTCTGGCAGCGCTGTTTTCTTTCCGACCAACTTTGTTATCGCACTCAAGCAATGGCAAATGGACAGCCGGGTGATATCAAGCAGGTGGATTTCTGCAGCCTTGAGACTTTCCCATGCAGGTGGGAATTTGACCATTTGGGAGTTTGCTTGAGTTCTCAGCGGGCCAACAGATCAGCCTCAGCTGTGTACCCTATAAATAAAGTTCAGGAAGGACTGAATCCTGGACTCTGGGAAAGCCTTGACCATGAGGTTCATCCTGTTTTTTGGTGCACTGTTTGGGCACATCTACTGTCGAGAAACATTTGTGGGGTAAGTTAACTGTTTCTGGTGCTTGTTTGAATTTTACTTAACTGATGCACAGGACTCTCCCTGTTTGTAACCTAATAAGGGCTGAGTGTGTTCAGAATTTTCAGAGGTGTTCCCTTATTTTGAAGGAGGGTAGTGGGGAAGGTAGGAGTGAGTGATCAAAAAAGAGATGCATGACATTTAAAGGGGGAAAAAAGGTGAAAACCATCAACGTCAAATACAGAGACAAATCCCCAGTGGAGGAACTTTGATTTGGAAATAAAAGACCAGGATTGCAATCCAGGACATACATGCACAAGCCAGGCGGGCTCTGGGATGTCCTGAGAACAAAGGAAAAGTGAGGGGTTTGGTTAGGTCAGAGAAATCTATAAGTTATTCTGAATGACAACTCATTGCCACTTTCGGGGCTGGCCCATGCTGGCCAGCTCCGATTGGCGAGCCGTTGCAATTATTACGTGAGGTTAGACGTAGGGCATAGCTGCAGTTTCTGTTGGCCGTTGCTAAGGGAAAGGAGCCTTGAAGAGAGGGCTGGCTGCTTTGCTGGTCTGTGAGGGGTCTCTGTGCTTGAGTCCTTTCTTCCCCATGGCCCCTCGACTCCAGGTCAGTGGGTGTGACGGGACTGACTCCATTTTGTATCCCGCATCTTCATGAGACAACACACACACAGCCCTATTTCTCTCCGGGCTTCTGCATTCTTCCCTCTGATCAGAATGCCATGATGAGAGACACCAGGGAAAGTCAAGCTGGCCCCTGGCCTCCGGGGGTCACCAGGCTACTCTCCCACTGCCTCTGCAGGCCCCTGGGCTGTGTCCTCCAGGTTGGCCCTGGGCCTTCCCTGTCTTCATAGTGGGACCTTGGCAGTGGGAAGGCCAGGGTTGTTAGCAGACCAGCTCTTCTCTTCTCTGGCTTTGAGGGCACATCCTTGTGAAGTCCTGTGGTCCTGCAAGCTGTGAAGGACCTTAGGCAGCATTTCTTTCTTCATAATTGAAATACAAACTCCATTTTATTTATTTATTTGAGATAGAGAATCTCCCATCTACTGGTTTCATTGTCCAAATGCTCACAACAACAGGGGCTGGGCTGAAGCAAGGGAGCTGGGCACTCGGTCCAGGTCTCCCATGTGCGTGGCAAGAGCCTAGCTACTTGAGCCATCACTGCTGCCCCCAGAGTCCACATTAGCAGGAAGCTACTAGAATCAGGAGCCAGAGTCAGGAACTGAACCCAGGCACTCCGATAGAGGAAGCAGGTGTTTTAATGAGGGTCTTAACCGCTAGGCTAAACATAAAGCATATTTGTAAGGAACTAAAGAAGCTGAAAAAAAAAAAAAACTTTGTCTTAAAAAACTGAGTAGTCAAATTTGGGAGCAGAGGGACATAAATATTGTAGACTTTCTAGGAACTTGGACTAGAATAGGGTGCTTCTGTAAGAGGTGCGCTAGGTCACAGCATGGACCCCAGGTTTGTTTTTTTTTTTATCATGAAACTATCTTTTTATCTTTTTGCTGAGCAACTTAAAGGACTACTTACCGAGCTTCAGAGCACACACCTGGAACATTAGCCTAATGTACTGCTTTTCCCAGGGCTTTCCCTTTTTAAAAGAGGACTCCAGGGAGCCCATGCATTAACCAAAAGTAATAAGACTCCAGTGGAAGACTTTGCGGAGTATTTACAGCAGATGGATGCGTGCAGGCAGGAGCGCCTGGAAGAGCGCATGCTCTCTCCTGTGTCTTCTGCTGTGCACTGGAATCACACGGGGCTTGCTTTCAGAAGACCAGGACTCTGGTTCCTGTGTAAGGCTTATGACACTGATTCATTCCCCCACTGCGCACATGGATGCGGCAGGGACTTGGGAAGTCAGCGGCTTAGAGAAAGGGATGGAGGAAACTGGCGCCAAGAAAAGTCTGTGGGATGCACCCGGTTGCTTCTCTAGGATATGTCTGCTTGTTTTGAGAGGTCTTTTCCTGACCAGGTGTCCTTAATATCCTTTATTCCGTGTGTGTGTGTGTGTGTGTTTGGGCCATGTGAATGTGGGTTTGGATATGGAGCCCTCCTACATTGTCAGTCGACAAAAACAAAAGCAATAAAAATAAAAGATCTACCTAGGTATGAATTGATTTACGAGCACTAAATTGATGATTCCACTCTCCCTTGGTATTATTTCTGAAAAATGGAGATAAGTTTTAAAAGCCATTGCTTTATAAACAGCAGGCGTTGTTTGACAAATACTCTTCAGCTAAAGGAGAGGCAAGGAGCAGGTGTACCTCTTACTGGTTATTTTCCTAACCCTGTCTTGGAGGAAAGAGAGCCATGGCGTGACCTCCTCAGGTCTGGGGATCTGGGTGAGTATGCTCATGAGTTTTTGGACCATCAAAGAGCTGATGGACTATTGCATTCACCTCTTCCAAGCAGACACTGACCGGAGCAGGAAGCTACTGAACGCAGTGTTCAAGCTCCGTTCTGAAGTCATATTTGTGTTCGCTGTGTTTTAGAGACCAGGTTCTTGAGATCATACCAAGCAATGAAGACCAAATGAAGAGTCTGGTGCAGCTGGAGGCTGAAGAGCATCTCCAGGTATCCGTCCTTGCGGGGCTCTCTGCCTCCCGCAGTGAAAACTGCGGGCAGACACGACGGTTGGGATCGCTTCTGCATTGCATGCTGACCTCTCTGACATGGCATGGAATACGAACTTGTGAAATGGGATTCTGAAAACCTGGGCTCCAGTCCCCGCTGCCTGCCAGTTAGAAGTCCCCTACTGGCTTGAGTTTCATTTTGCCATTCAGAAACACGGGCATAAATATACCATTCACCTGTCGCTCAGATTTATTGTAAGAATGAAAAGAGTTCAAATGTGAAGGTTACCTCAAAACACTACTGGGCACTTCGAGCACATTATTTCCTTCCTAAAACATTTCATAGTGTTCACATCTTATGATGAAATGAGGCAGCTTTTTAAAAAAGTGCCCTCATTTTAAATCTTTTCCTTCAGTCCATTTTAATATCTAGCTGTAGGGGAAAACAACACAACACCTTTGCTAATGCTTGATTATTGAAAAACCCTTGCCCTGTTATAGCAAAAACAGATACAAAAGGATTTCTTGAAACCTTTCCATGCTGAGCCGTCCATGTCCCCAGAATAACCCACTCATTGCCTTGGCTTGGCCTTTTATCCTTTTCAGCTGGACTTTTGGAAACCAGCGACCATACCAGGGGCAAGAGCCCACGTCCGCGTCCCCTTCGGCAGCGTGCAGGCCGTCAAAGCTTTCCTGGAGTCCCAAGGAATTGCTTATTCCATCATGATTGAAGATGTTCAGGTAATTACAGCACAGATCAGCCTCCCCGAGCTAGCTGTTCTCCGTGAACTGGCGGTCCAGCCTGGGGGCCCTGCGGGTGTCACCAGGGCCTCCCAGCAGCCTGGGTTACAGCTGCAGGGGGGCAGAGGGAGATGCCACCTCCTTTGCGTTTGGCACAACTGGAATATGGTGACAAAGAATGTAAGGGAAAGGACAAAAAACAAGCTACAGTATGCAATAGGAGTGCATACCGAGGGTATTAGTCAAAATAGGAAAAAGCAAACTGTTATTCATTTCTTTCTTTGAGAGTCAGAACGAGAGAGTGCTTCTACCTGCTGGTTCACTCCCCAGATTCCTGCGACAGCTGGGGCTGGGGCAGGCCAGGCTGAAGCTGGGAGCCAGGAAATCAGTCCTGCTGTCCCACATCCGTAGCATAGACCCAACTACTTGAACCACTACCTGCTGCCTCCCAGGGTCTGCGTTAGCATGAAGACGGAGTGAGGAGGTGGAGTATGAATTGAACCCAGGGACTCCTGTCTGGAACATGGGTGTCTTGTTGGCTGCTGTTTAGTTTTTAATCAGAAGTCAACTTGGGCCAAGAGTTCCCAGAAAGGCAGGATGAGCCATAGGAGTGTGCCATCTGCCACGGGACTGCGCGTCTGTGTCTGCAGCATCCGACTAGCTGGAAGTCCAGTTAGTACCATGTTCCCTTTCAGAGGGCTGCCAGAATAAGGACAAGATATGACCCTAAGGCCAGCAGGACAGGAAGGGGAAGGCTTGGTACGGGGACCTAGGAGTCACTTCTTTCAAAACTATAGACTGAAATGCATTGCTATACACTGACTATCCCTAGAATTGGTTTATCTTAGGTTCTGTTGGACAAAGAGGATGAAGAAATACTACAGAATCGGCGAAGAGAACGCAGCGGGAACTTCAACTTTGGGGCCTACCATACCTTGGAAGAGGTAGGTGTTTCAAAATGGGTATTTCAACATGAACACCAGAGAAATGGGCCACTCTCTCCTCTGCTGATAAGGACTATGTGGGAAGTGATTTGATGACTTAGAAAGTAGTCTCCAATTACTTCCCGAACCTCTCCAAGTTTCCCTGGGATTTCACAGCCAGTGTCACGGTCACTGACTTAAGGCAGGACCTAAAGTCTCCCTGCCCATCCGGCAGCCACCCAGGGTTGTGGATGGTCTTACGTGAGTTCATAGGCAGCTGCTGTTCACCAAGCCAATGGAGAGCTGTGCCTTAGCACTGCCACCGAGGATGGAATCCGGGGTCACCACGACACCTCTGACTTCCAGCCAAGGTTGGGGTCTCCCAGCCAGCCCAAGCCTCATGGTAGCAAAGTCTTACTTGAGTGCCATGAACCATGCCCCCTACCTCCATGTGGGTCACCTGGTGCTGCCTGGGTTCCTGGGTGGTGCTGCATTTAACTGTGACACAGAGCACTTCTTGGGGGCCACTGGGGTCCACCTGCACTTGGGAATCGGGTGGGTGAGGGAATGGTCATGGGGGGTTAAGAAGTGGGAGGGTGGGGGTGGGGTAGCAGCTGTAAAGAAGGCACAAGTTTCCAAACCAGTAATTTAAACATTTGCAAGTGTTCTGAAAAAAATTGTTTGTGGCACAGCACAGTGTGATCTAGACTCATTTGGGGGACAAAATCTGATCTGACTGACTTGCTAACTTGTTTCACCACCGGAAATACTCAGGTGCCCGAGTATGGAGCAAGGTCATGTGTGTGCGCCATACAGTATACTTCCAATTACTCATATAGAACTCCCTCTTCAAACACAAAAGTCTGAATCTGAAACACATACGGCCCCAGAGGTTTCAACCCGGGACTGCCTGAGGAAGGCAAGGAGTGGAAGGGTGCAGCCTGGGCTGCTGGCACAGCCGGACCTGCCATTTCCCAAAGGTGCGCTGCAGGTGCCTGCACGGGCTGGCTCCCAGCGTGGGCGCAGGCGGGCAGCGTCTCCCCGGACAGGAGCGAGGTCACCCATGGCTTTGGGGTCTCCGGGCAGACTCGTGTCCCAGGCCCGAACTAGCCCGGCTGCGTTCTACAGCATCTGCCTTTGTGGGTGCCGCTGCCATTTGTGTCCTTCTGCTGGCAAAGGCGAGCAGCTTTAAGGCCGGGGCAGCGCTGCCCGGAGAGGGGCCGAGGAAAACCCCAGGCAAACCACATCTGGCCGCGTTAGCTTTGCACCCAACTGCCAAGAGCCGGCTCTGCTGCGGCAAGATGGCCTCTCCCTCCCAGCCCTGTAGGCGCCGCCTGGCTCGGCCTCCGGCAGTGGGGGCCCCAAGTCTTAGCCCACCCGGCCCTTGCCGTGGGGTCCCCGGGGTCAGGGATGGGGAGAGGGAGAAGTCATTAATGTTAGGATTAGCTCATTCATTTGCAAATACCTTTTTTTTTTTTTTAACATTGCAGATTTCCCAAGAAATGGACAACATCGTGGCCCAGCACCCTGGGCTAGTGAGCAAAGTGCGCGTTGGGGCTTCCTTTGAAAACCGGACCTTGACCGCACTCAAGGTAACGGCCGCTGCGGAGTGGCTCTCGCTCTGGATGCTTCTAGAACCCAGCTCCTCCCAGCTCAGCCGGCTAGCTAGCTGGTCTTTTTTCTTTCTTTTTTTTTTTTTTTTCTTCCTTCCTAACCGGTCCTTGCTGTTTTTGAGCACCCCTCCCCCCACCCCAACCTGCAAACCCTCTTTCTCTTTTTCTCTTGCGCAGGCTGACGCAGGCGGCAGCAGGGAATTAATGCGCACGTACTGATGATGGTTGCGCTCCCAGGGACCAGGGCAAGGGGGGCTCACCCACGGAGCCGGGGCGGGGGCGGGGGCGGCCCCCGGGGAGCCAGGAGGGGCGGGGTACATTGTGCAATAATTAAGGTGGGCGTCCTTTGCCTCTCTCTCTCTCTCTCTCTTTTTCTGTATCTTTGCCTTTCTTTTCTAACAGAAAAAAAAAAAAAAAACCCACACACAAAATGACAACACCGAGAAATTGCCCAAGCTGCATTAAAATAAAAGACTCAGCGTGCGGGATGAGCGCCAGCTACACCACGAGGGCAAATAGACGCCTTGCACCGCAGGCAGGCGGGTCTTAGGTGATCGCCTGGAAGGAGGTCAGGGTTTTACTCCAACTTGTAACCTCTAACCGCCGCTAAGTGCTGATCACTTCACATTTTTGCACTTTGCCCTGAAAAAGAGTGAAAATTATTTCCCCAGATTTCCTAGAAAGAGTTTGTTAAAAAAAAAAAAAAAAGGGAGCGAGAGGGAATGTCACAACTGGGCTAAATTTGGAAGCGTGTGGCTGGGAACCAACTGAGTAACTGGGGCAGATGGATTTCTCCCGTGTTTTTCCTCCAGCAGGCCTGGCAGGAGTGTTTTGCCTGCTTTATGGAGCCGGGGTACGGTTGTTCACGTTTACTCCTCTCTATCTCCTCTTCTCCGCTCCTTCCAGCCACGCGGGGCCAGGATTCTCTGCTGTGGATTTTCCTGGGCCTGCCCTCTTCCAGGTGTTCTCGTGGTTGGGGATGTCTCGTGGTTTTGGAAGTTCTCCACTTTTTACGTTTGAGCTTTTTTTGGAGGAAGAGGCATAGAACACTTTGAACCAAAACTCTCCAAACCCGTGAAATGTAATTTTTTAGCAAGGATTTGCATTTCTCATTTACCTTATCTGCTATGTTTAGAATGCTGCGCCGAGATAGAAGTTGATGGTGCAAAAATAATCTTTTCCTCCCCATTTACTGATCCAATTGGCCCAGCCACTGTTCCAGATAAAACCAAGTCACTTAGATCATAAAATTTCAACTCTGGAAAGCGCTCCAGAGCCTGATGTCCTGCTTTTGGTGAAGGACTCGAAAGGTTATCACAGGCGTTTTTCTAACAAAAATTCACAAGATCATTACACGAATTTGGAACGGAGAGAAAAAAAAATTGAGAAAAGGAAAAAAAAATCCCCATCATTTGAATTCTTCTACAGGATGATAGCTGGGACTATTTTGTTGTCTTTTTTTCTGCTTCTGTCTCTCTTTCCTTTTTCCTTTTCTCTTTCCGTCTCCCTCTCCCTCCGTTTGTATGGATGTATACATATGTGAGCATTTACGTGAAGTAATATTTTTAAAAATGAGGATATCCTGTTCTGTAACCTGGCTTGTTCCAATTTACTGCTTGTGAATGTATTTTCATATCATTACACTCTCTGCAAGAATTTTTCTTTTTTTAACAGACGTCAAAGGAGAAAAAGCCTGTGCCCTCTTGTTAGCCTGTATTTAAACTCATTTTAAAAGGGGGACAGAAAACACTCAACTTTGGGGAGAAGACACTGACAGTGTCAGCTGCCTGTGTCTCTTCCTTCTCCCTTCTCCATCGCATCGGGAACAGAAGGTGGGGGGAGGGCAGAGGAGGAGACAGAGGTGGAAAGGCTGGGGGGCACGAGGTCGGTCACATTCTTGCACCTGTCTTTCAGTTCAGCACTGGAGGTGACAAGCCAGCCATCTGGCTGGACGCGGGGATCCATGCGCGAGAGTGGGTTACCCAAGCTACCGCACTCTGGACAGCAAATAAGGTTATCTTGTCCCACATTTCTAACTTATTCTGTCTGTCTGGGGTCAGGCCCACTAAGTGTGCAGTAGTCCCTACGGTCCCAACAGCCGGCGCTCTCAGCCAAGCCTCCTCTTACCACACGGGCAGGAAATAAACCCATCCAACCCCTTTTGGTATTGCCCCATCTGGTGCCCTGGCGCACTGACCCTGGCCCGGCCACTGTGAGCTCTGTTGAAAGACACAGGGAGCTAGACAAGATCAAGATCGAAAAGGTGGCGGAGAAGGGCCCCGGAGGGTCAGAGATTTCAGCATTAGATTCCAGAGAGGTCGCTTTGCTGCCTGACTCAGAGGGCTGAGGCTTCATGTACCAGGAACCTATAAAATGGCAAAAGGGGCTCGGAGGGGAAATAGAAACAGGTGCGAAAGCAGCTTACTTGGACCTACAGGTCCAAAGTGAAATCAGTTAAGGGTGTTTGGGTTGCTCTGAAAATTTCCCAAATCTGATTTTGAAGTCAGGATGTAGCAATCGCTCCCTTCCACATGTTCCTTGGCATTGGAGTCAGGACATGGGACTGGGTGGGACCTAGTCTGGCATTTCTTAAGTAATTCCGAAATGACATGCTATAAATCAGAATGTTAATTCATGAGCGAAGGAAATCAATCCACATCAGATTATTCAAGCATGTACAACCACGTGCATACCGAGTGACACATTTTTCCCTTCAATTAAAATGCGGTTACCTTTAGGGTATTATGAAATGGATATTTAACAGTTGAATAATAATGCCTTAGGATGGCTGAGCACAGGAAATGAATAAATTTTAATCCAGCAGAAACTCCAACTCTACCGCAATTGATGGCTAGTGAAAAAAAAAATCTAATTCCCTGAATGGAATTTAAGCAGTTGTCTATATCTTTAGCAAAGTCTATACGTATTTCAGTAAATCTGATATTGGTCATGAGCTCTTTTGGAAAACCTCTATGTGGGGGAATTAAGGAATATTAAAGAATATTCCACAATATATATAAAAAATTTCTCTTCGGCTCATAGATCTATATGAGTGACCATTGCCCATCACTGCAAAATGCCTCAGTAGAGTTCGTAGGCAGACGGGAGAAGAACGGATGTGAGAGCTCTGAGTTTTACTTCATACAAGTGAATTATGCTGACCGAAGATAAAACAGGCCCAGGCCTGTTAAACTCGTTAATGTTACAGGAGACTGGATGGCTGTGTATCCAGAAAGTTCTCGTTGATCGGTAGTGGTTCCTAGCTCACATTTGGAAAAATCGCATTGCCTTAACATTTTGCCCTATGTCCCCCCCCCCCCCCCCCCCCGGCGAACGGGGAGGGGGAGGGTGATGTATGTGTTGTCACTGTTCAGATCGCCTCCGACTATGGAAGGGATCCATCCATCACTTCCATCCTGGACGCCGTCGATGTCTTCCTGCTGCCGGTTACAAACCCCGATGGATATGTGTTCTCGCAAACCCACGTAAGCCTGGACTTTTCCTCTTCTGGCCCCGGGACCTAAGATATGTAGGAACTTGAAAAACCAAATAAAAGTAGTCTTCCTGCCCTGGATTTACTCCAAACAGAATGCCTAATCTCACAGTGGTGGCCCCGAAATGAGGCCTGGAGGAGTGTTCTAATCACTTCTTAGTGCAGCCCGCGGTGTCGGTCCACGCTGCCTCAGTTGGAGCCCACTTCAGCTGTTCCTGGGCTGGCAGAGCCCAGCGTCGGCTGTGAGTCACCTGGGAGATTTGTTCCAGTTATCTTCATGTTCCTTGTGTTGGGATGGGTAGGAGAGCGGAGGTGGACGTTACCTGCCGACAGTTAGATGGCAGTAGGACCTAGGTAGGCAGGACAATGCAGCTAGCATTTAACTTCCTGTTTGTGGTAGAAGTCCTCTGTAATGTCACTAAAAAGGAGCTATGCAATGCCCCCCCCCCACCTTCAAAATCTCATTACAAAGTGCCATTGTGGCAACCGTGACCCTGCGTATATTGAAAATGAATCAGAGCTTCCAGCTTTGTATCTGGAGAGAGCTGACGACGGCGGCGGTGCTTTCAAAGAAACTCAGTAATAACCAGTGCTGGGGAGGGGGAGCTGCCGCCCCCCCCGCATCAGGATTCCACAGTCAGGAGTAGGAACCACCGCCCCCTGTATCCCTTTCCCAGAGGTTCATCAGAAGCGTGACCGTACCGACAACCCTTGCGGGTTCTGAAGTAGATTTACCAACTCAGCCCCGTAGTTCCCCCAGTAGTGCCCTCTTGCAGAAACCCCCCCCCCCCCCGCCCCGGTCTTCCCTCTTGCGCTTTGTCCCCGTTGAGAGCACTTAACAGAATGGAGCTCTTTGGAACCTGGTGGGGCAGGCACATAGTTGAGGCGATGGGGGAAACCCCTACTTCTCGCCCAGGTGAGAGGCGCAGAGAAGCCCAGGCAGAACCCTGCAGGTGGGACGGGGGGAGCCCTCTGCGAACAAGGGGAGTGGGTGCAGTTCCGCAGGGGCCTTGGGACAAGGGAATGGACAGAATTCCAAAGGGCCCCTCCCATCAGGCCGAATGACCAGCATTCTCTCCCCACCCTCCACCCCCATATTCCTTTTGGGATGGATGTTAAAGAATCGCATGTGGCGCAAGACGCGGTCCAAGGTGTCTGGAAGCCTTTGTGTCGGAGTGGATCCTAACCGGAACTGGGACGCAGGATTCGGAGGTGAGCAGGGGCCCGGCCCCCAGGGACAGTCAGACCTTTGTCTGGCCAGATAGCCGGTCTGCAAGGCGCCGTAGTGCGTCAGCCCGCTGAGCCCATTCAGGATCCAAGGCATTTAAAAAGCTATTTGAAAAACACTTAACTAAATTCTCTTCACAGGAGTGCAGTGCTGTCACAGAGCTCTGAGCAGCGTTTAATAGGTTTGGTCTCACGTCTTGGTTTTCCCACAAGCTGCAGCCCGGGTTCCCCAGCAAGACTGCAATGGCGGGAGCCTCAGGAAGATCTTAACCAGCCACTAGAGGGGGTTAGGACCTATTCGGAGGAGAAGAATTACATCATCCGTGGATGCTTCGAGAAAGAAAACTGAAACGAAGTACAAATAGGATTAAGAACTGATTTTCAAAATAGTTCCAAAAGATAAACTATTAGCTTGCTTCCCTGGCTTTGTTGTCTGGGTGCTCCTAAGTGTAGGAGTTTGGTGGTAGGTGAGGTGGGAGGGCCCACTTGTTCTCAGGACCAGTTAAAACCCGATATGTTACAGTGGTTGCAGAGTGGAAATTCGTCTGGGTTTTCCTTACTGGGCCACTGTGCCAACGAGGTCAGGAGCTGTGTCTTTGTCACTGTCCTATTCCTGACGCCTGGTGCAGCATCCACAATGTAGAAGGCAGTCGCTAAGTATTTGTAAAGCAAATGAATTACTGAGAGTTAGGGAGACAGGACACACTGGGGAATTGTGACAGGATGTGGATGAGTGGCAGCTTCCTTCATTACTGTTACAATTTTTTTTTAAGGATAAGGGGAAAAAAAAAATCAAAGCTCCAGACTCAAAATACTGAACAAAGCCTACCAATTTAATGACGCTTTTTGTCCTGAAATGTTACCCTATTAAATAATTTTAACATAAGGCAACAGAGGTAGTATTTACACTTGCTGTCACTGAAATTTGGGGACTCCCGGCCCTCACCCTGCTCTCAGGGGTTCCGCAGCCCCAGAGCCCCACCAGGCCTATGGCGGCCCCACTGCAGAGTCTTGGAGCAACTACAGGGGCCCTTGTCACATGCATCCCTCATGCAGAGGATGGCGGAGGCTCCTTGCGTTTGTGGCTTTGTGACTTGGAAGTACAGATGCACACGATCTTCTACTCTTGGACTCTATGACTTGGAAGAGGTCCCAGAAAATGAACTTACTAAACTCCCACCCAGTGCAGGAATTCCATCTATAAAATTAAACCTAGCTGTTCTTCCAACAACTCTCAGAGAGAGGAGATGATCTAATTTGATAGCCCTCCTGTCATATGGAGGTACTATAATTGTTTATTAATTTTTCATTTTATTGGAAAGGCGGAGAGATAGATGGAGAGGTTTCCCATTTGCTGGTTCACTCCCCAAATTCCCCTAACAGCCAGGGTTGGGATAGATTGAAGCCTGGATCACTTCTCGGCCTTTTGGCTAAGATCAAGCATGTAGATTGAAGCCTGGAGCCCAGAACTCGGTGCAGGTCTTCCATGTAGGTGGCAGAGACCCAAATACGTGAGCCACCACCTGCTGCAGCCCGGGATATGCTTCAGGAGGAAGCTGGAACGAAGAGGAGTAGCTGGGACTTGAACTAGGCACTCTGATTTACGGTGCTGGCATCCCAAGCAGCAGCTTAGCCACAGTCCCACATACCCAGGACAATTTTTTTAAGGAAAAGAGATTTGTCTAGGTTCACTTCAGTTAAGCTTCCCGACTACGCCCTTAGGAAGACGCAGGATCCAGCACCATGACCGTCTCGCTCTGGTTTCCAGAGGGGGAGCTCAGTGGTGTGCATAACCTCCTCCCTGTAGTGTCTCCTTGAAAGCTCCTGGTCCTCACTGGGCTCTTCTGCATCCCATCAGGCCCTGGAGCCAGTGCCAGCCCTTGCTCTGATTCGTACCGCGGATCCAGGGCCAACTCCGAAGTCGAAGTGAAATCCATAGTGGACTTCATCCAGAGTCATGGGAAGGTCAAGGCCTTCATCACCCTTCACAGCTACTCCCAGCTGTTGATGTTCCCCTACGGGTACAAGTGTACCAAACCAGAGCACTTTGAGGAGCTGGTGAGTCCCCGAAATTTAACTTCAGCTCAGCCACGAACATCCGCTGGCTGTGTGGACGAGTAAGTTTCAGTCAGTAGGTGGGCCCTGGGGAGGGGGCAGGAGAGGTGGACCAGCACAAGTCACACAAACGAGTGACACGGTGGTGAAGCCCCAGTCCACGCCGCCGAGATCATGTGGCTCTCTGCTGAGTGGCGGCTTCCAGCAATTAGCCCAGGGGTACCTGGGGCCTTTGGCTGTGGGACCTCTCCCCACCACGCGCTGGTCTATGACTTGAGGGCGAAGCCCTCTCCTCGCTAACTGGGACCCTTCCATCCTCTTCCTGCTGGTGACAGCCTTGGGTCAGCTGATGACACAAGCGAGGAGTTGTCCACAGCTGAGGAGATGTGCAGCTATATCTAATTTGGCTTGAAGGCCTGGCTTCTGAATCCTGTCATTAGGGATAAGCCCTTAATTAGGACCTTTGGATCAGTTTACCTTCAAGTAGATGATCTTCAGCAGCCCCAGGCAGAAGTGGTGGTGCTGATTCCGATTAGATGTCTCTTTGGCCTCATCAGTTGAATTTCGGTCCCGTAGGACAGCTTTTGGAGTTCTGATGGTGAGTGTTACCGTGTCGGGGCCGGAAGCTACCTGAAGTGTTCTTCCAGCAGACCTAGCTGACCTCACATTATGCAAACCTGGTGCTCAGATCTGGCTGCATCCCGGCCTTCTGGGGAGCCCATTCCTTGCGGGCAAGTTTCTGTGTTAGGGCTTCTTCTAGCCAGCCAGTGAGGAGTCCTGCTTAAGGTTTTCCCAGCCAGCCCGGGTTTATCATCCGGTTTTACTGAGCAAGTTTATTTTCCTGTGAGAGGTGAAGCTAACAGTTACTTGAAGGCAGTAACCTGCCTTCTCCTAGGTCTTTCTCTGTTCCTCCCAAATCACCCCAGTTCCTTTAAGTATTCACAGCGTGGACCCCCGCTCGCTCACCATCCTGGCCCTTGCTTTCTGCACATGCTTTGCTTTGTGTTTTTCTAGGGTGGCTCGCACAGGGCCGAGCGTGACCACTGCTGCCCTTGTCCACGCCAGGCATTTGTGATAGCCCTTGAGGGTCACATTAGTTCTTTGGCAGTAGCAGAGCAGCGCCGTTGACTCACGTTGGGCTCACTGACAACTGAAACCCCCAGGCTCTCCCAGGCTTCTGCAGAGCCAGGTTTCCCCCATCTGGTGATTGTACATTTGTTTCCCTGGACCCAAGTTCATGACCTCCCATTTATCCCTAGCAAGGACGGTAAAGCCTCAGTCAGTCAACATTGGAACCCTCAAGTAACAGAAAATATTTTGCTGAGCTCCACTTCTTGGAAAAAGACAATCACAGGGAAATGGGCCAATGTAGGGATATAACAAAAAAAAAAAAAAAAAAAAAAAAGTCAACTTCCTAGACACCTCCTGGAGTCAGCACACATTCTCTTAGATGGTCCCATTATAGCCAGCTTCTTTCCATCCGCACTCCTGAGCTGGGAGAGCCCATGGCAGAACAATGGACCCTAGAGTATTGCACACACCTGGGTGATCAAGTAGACAATGGGGACTCCATGCTGTGTTTGCAAATGTGCTCATTTCTCAGTGAAGTCCTTGAGACAAAATAGGGCATGCCCCTCCACCTGGAGTAACCAGAGTCTAGCTAGCCAGGACTTTTCAGTCCAGGTTCTGTTATTGGGCAGCCCATCTCCTGGGAGACAAGTGTTAACCCTTCACCTTGCTTTGGTTTCCCCACTCTAGAATGAAGTAGCCCAAAAGGCTGCCCAGTCGCTCGCGAGCCTGCACGGCACCAAGTATGAAATAGGACCCATCTGCTCGGCCATTTGTAAGTACCTGATGTGCAGGAAGTTTTTACAAAGGATCCACTAAGATGGTAAGATGGCAGGCACCCTGGGAGTCCAATGAAAGCTTTTTTTTTTTTTTTTTTAAGATTTATTTATTTGAAATGCAGAGTACAGAGAGAGAGGGAGAGACAGAGAGAAAGGTCTTCCATCTGCAGGTTCACTCCCCAAATGACCACAACAGCCACAGTTGGGCCGGTCTGAAGCCAGGGGCTGGGAGCTTCTTCTAGGTCTCCCACGTGGGTACGGGGGCCCAAGGACTTGGGCCATCTTCCTCAGCTTTCCCAGGTACATCAGCAGGGAGCTGGATCAGAAGTGGAGTAGCCAGGACTTGAACCCGTGCCCATATGGGATGCTGGCACTGCAGGTGGCTATGTCACAGAGCCAGCCTCCACATCAAAGCTTTCAAATGCCTTGGTCTGAAAGAGATAGGCCTTCATGCCTGGAATCCAAGCTTACTGAGTTTCCCTCAGTAACTCTAGACTCCTCCATGAGATACTTACTATGGATGTCTAGAACGAAGAACTTCTTCGGTAGATGAGTTTGAGAGCTTTCTTAGGCTTGTCCAGACCCTTACAACTAACTCTCACCATGTGAAATTTCTTTACTTAAAAAATGAGTTCTTTATCAAGACCTGCTTCTAAGCCATGCTCTCTTACTAATATTTTCTTTCCTGGCCAAGATGATCTCGTGTCCTGAACAATCCAATGGACTGTGCTAGGGGACACAAAGGGTGTGCCTCTTCAGGAGGACCGGATGGCTCTGTGGGTGCACTGTGACAGCCATTTGTCTGTGCCGTGTGTGGGGAAACAAGGAGAGGGCAAATCAGGGGTCCTGAGTGCGGGGAGGTGCCGTCAGACGGCAAGATGTCCTCCTCCCCGATGGGCGGGAATAAAAACAGGAAGTGTTGTAGTATGGGAAATCCCAGTGCACACTTGTGCGGATTCTGAATCCTGTAGAGGCACAGTCCCTTTCTGCTGGACAAAGCCGGAAACTGAGGCCCACACAGTCGAATGAACAGGAGTTCCCTAGTGCTGCCATGTTCAAGGATCCTTCAGAAACCAGTGTCTCTAATAGGCATTTGTTCTGCTCAACACACTATCATGCCAAATACTAAGGGAGATACAGAATGATCCCACAAAGAAGTCACTTTTTAGTTGAGGTGCACAGAGAGAAGACTTTTATATGAGCTGTGCAATGGTAGGCTATACGTGATACAAAATTATTAGAAAGTTAAGGGGATTTGATGTGGCTGGGTCAGGAAAGGGTTCAAATAGGAAGAAGGCTGAGGTTTAGGGTTGATCACCTTGTAGCTGGGGGAAAGGGGTGGGCATTCTGGCTACTCAACAGCACGTGTGAAGGCCCAGTGTAGGAAACTGCGCATGAGCTCTGGAACTGCCGGTCGGTTTGGAATTGCTGGAAGGAAAGAGGGAAGACGTTACCTGCATGGAGGATGGAGTGAAGCTGGCCAGGAAGTAGGGACGTCTCCTAGGAGAGTAGGAGAAACTGAGCGGAAGAAGATGGGCTGAGCTAGAGTGTGGCCAGTGAGGCTGCAAGGGGCTGAAGGGGTAATGCCAAACGGCCTTTGGCATTTACTGGATGTGGACATTTTCTCACTAAAGACCGTGAAGATGAGCCACTAATGGAGAGAATCCAGGACAGTGGCAGAGGGGTGGAGTTGGCAAGATCATGAATCAATTGTAGACCTACTGAGGTTGAAATCCATATTAGGTGAAAGTGGACATGAGCTACATGGCCTGAGATTCTGCAGAGACAGATGTAGGAAGAATGGACCGAGAGAGTGTGGTTAGAATGGAAGAGCAAGGAGATACTGGGAGTGGGGCAGCAGTGGGGAGCAAGGTGTCAGACAGCAGAAGGGGTTAAGAGCAGACAGTGAAGCAGAGAACCTTGGATTTCAGTAAGCGGAGAAGTTGCAATTGTTAAAAAGGAGGCCGTGGTTAATAGTGATGAAGGCCATGAAAAGGTCAGCTAAGGCAAGGATCGAATGTGTTCCATTGGATTTTCACCACTAGTTTATTGGTGCCTGTAACAGAGCAGTTTCCGGAAAGCAGATGAGAAGTCAAATGGGAAAGAAAGAAACGGAAGGCTTTGCTGTTCTTTCTTTCTCTCCTTTCTTTCGAGATAAGAGATGTATTTGTTGACTGTGGGAAAAGAACCAACAGAGAAGGAGAGGTGGGAGAAGCAGGAGAGAAATGATCAATGAAGCTTGATTCCCCAGCAGGGGAAAGATGGGGTCACCCACAGGTGCAGAGAAGCGCGATCAGGCTTGATCAGAGCACGGTGTCTTTGGACACGCGGTGGGCATGGACATAGCTAGAGCCGCAGGAGGGGTGGTGGGAGTGGCGGGTGGAGGGTGCAGTGGTGACATGCATACCTCTTAGTCATGGTTTCCTTATCAGGGGTCTTAGAGAGAGAGGAGAAACATTTCACTCACGAGATCCAGAATGTCTCATAGAAATGCAAAAATTACTCATCTAATAACCTACATGTCACAAAGGTTTCTCTATTCCCAGGATATAATTGTTGTTTTTGTTTACATTCTATTTATGATGCATTTTAAAAACTATGGGAAAAAGTATCCAGGGATCATCATGTTTTACTTTAATTTGCAATCACATTGGTGATTTTTGTCAAGGAACCCTCCTTATCTAGAGGCATTTACAAATCAAGTAGACCTTGGAAGGCTGGGATTGAGTGTTTTCCTTGGTGAGGTCAGAGATTTTGCAGCTATTTCCAATAAGCAAATATCACACAAGTATAGGGTTTGCTATCTGATCTTTTGGAAACTGCCCATCAATCGCCAAGCAGGTTCTGGCTACCTCTCTGTCCAGAACTGATCTTGTTATCCTGCCTCATTGCAGCCCGGACAAGCAGTGCCCTAAGTACCTTGTGCCTCTTGCCCCAGGCCGGTGTGCTGCTCTGCAGGTAGCACCTGTGCCTCTCCACCCGGGAGGTGGCTCATCTGTCAGGGGTGAGACATTTCCGGGAGAGCTTCCCACGCAGAGAGCTTGGCCCAAGAGGAGTTGTTCCTGGAGTTCATTCTCAGGGAAGTGTAATGGAAAAAACCTAGACCTTGAGGCTAGAGGCTCGGCTTTGGAACTGAGTCACCTTGGGCAGCTCACTTCTCCTCCCTTGATTTCTTCATCTGTGAAATGGGTTGTCAAGAATTTTAAAAGATAGTATATGGACTAAAAGTGTTTGCTAATGCTCATGCACTTAGAAACATTGTTAGTTTCCTGGTGAACTGCTCTGCTCTCGATAGCGCTGATCTGTAATGTGATCCAACTTTTTGGATAGGATCCTAGTCATTTATTGATAATGATATTTATAATCATAACTGATGCTTATTGAATGCCTACTGAACATCATGTTATCCCAGCTCCTTTACTTAATCTCTCTGAATCCCAACTGACTCATTTTTTAAATATTTATTTATTTACTTGAAAGTCAGTTACACAGAGAAAGAGAGGCAGAGAGAGAGAGAGAGAGACAGACAGACATCTTCCATCCGCTGGTTCATTCCCCAGAAGGCTGCAATGCCTGGAGCTGTGCTGATCCGAAGCTAGGAGCCAGGAGCTTCTTCCGGGTCTCCCATGTGGGTGCAGGGGCCCAAGGACTTGGCCATCCTCTACTGCTTTCCCAGGCCACAGCAGAGAGCTGGATGGGAAGTGGAGCAGCCGGGACTCAAACTGGTGCCCATAGGGGATGCTGGCACTGCAGGCTACGGCTGTATCTGTTACGCCACAGCGCCAGCCCCCCAACTTCCTCATTTGTAAAATGGGAATACCACGAGGAGACTTCAAAAACTTTATGGGAAATGTAAATAAAAGATAAGCTTATTTTGGTGCAAAAAAAGTTTGAAACCCATGAATAGCTTTGTCATAGTACACATTTGCTTTGAATTTGTTGAAGACGCTCCCTTAGCCCCCACGCGTGTTAGCAGTTGATCATGCCTGTTTGCCGTATGATGCATCTGGAACTCAGAGCAATAAATGACTCGCCGTGGGTCACCCAGCTGACCCATGCAGGGCCAGGATTTAATCTGGAGCCTGTATTATGTCCTTTGGGGAGGGAACCTCATAGTGGGACTGGCTGTGGCAGAGGAATTGGCTCTAGCCAAAGTTAGTAATTCTGGTACCCAGGGAAGATTCAGTCCAGGGGTGCAGCCATTTAGTCTTTGTTATTCACCAGGTGCTACCATAGCCATCGTGAGTGAAGGCAAGGTCTTGGGGTTCCTCAGCATTACAGATTGAGGACCCCTAACCCCCAAATCCAAAATGCTCCAAACCCTGAAACCGTGTGTGCCAGTGTGACTCCATGAGTGGAAAACTCCATGCCTGGTCATGTTGCATGCAGGTGCCTGGAAAGTATTATATAAAATTACCTTCAGCCTTGGGGTGAAAGTTATCTGAACCATAAATGAATCTTGTGCTCGGACTTGGGTCCCATCGCTGGATGTCTTGCTAAGTAAATGAAAGGACTCCAAAATCTGGAAAAATTCGTAATTCAAAACACTTCTGGTCCCAGGCATTTCTGTTTAGGGGTGCTCATCCCATAACTCACAATATGTTTTTTTTTTTTTAGTCTATTTTTTAGACACTGAGAGAGAGAGACAGAGAGAAAGGTCTTGCTTCCGTTGGTTCACCCCTGAAATGGCTGCTCTGGCTGGCGCACTGCGCTGATCCAAAGGCAGGAGCCAGGTGCTTCTCCTGGTCTCCCACGGGGTGCAGGGCCCAAGCACTTGGGCCATCCTCCACTGCACTCCCAGGCCACAGCAGAGAGCTGGACTGGAAGAGGAGCAGCCGGTACAGAATCTGGTGTCCCAACCGGGACTAGAACCTGGGGTGCCGGCGCCGCAGGTGGAGGATTAGCCTAGTGAGCCGCGGCGCTGGCCCATAACTCACACTATTGACCTCAAGGCCTACTCTCCTCTGGCCTAGTCTCCTTGCCCGCCCAGCCCTGTTCCTAAGAGCCAGGTGGCTCCCTCCAACTTTGCCCTTGCCAGGTCCTCCATGTGACCTCCACCTGCCCTCCCTGGGAGGGGCCTCTGGGCAGACTTCTGAGTCACACCTGCCATCATCCTTCATCACTGTCATGTCAGCAGCCACACGTGTCTCAGGTGCGCATTACTGTGTAGGTCTAAGCCACCTGCAGAGGTGTCAGGCGCGCTACTTGTGTCAGAGCAGAGTCTGCTCCACCCTCCGGCTGAGGGTCCTCTGAGGGCAGGGACTTAACCTGCGCTCCATTTGCAAGCCCCCCTCTCCCACTACACATCCCCCTGAGCTGGAGGAGACGCGAGTCAGGAGCGCAGGCAGAGTTCCGGGCGGGCGGGTGGAGCAGAGACCACCAGAGGAAGAGGAAGTGTAGTGGCCACGTGCAGACACCTTTTGCTTTTCAAATTATCTTCAAGTTTCTCACGAGCATGACTTTCTCCTAAACTCTGTTGTCTGAGTCCACGCATGTAGGGGCCTGCCTTATGTTTGATGATAGAGAACTTGACATGGGGGCCACATGGCTGTGAGCGGCCGTGGGAAAACATAACCGGACTTTACTCCCGTGTGCCCTTCAGACCAAGCCAGCGGCGGAAGCATCGACTGGTCCTATGATTCTGGCATCAAATACTCCTTTGCCTTCGAGCTGAGAGACACAGGCCGCTACGGCTTCCTCCTGCCGGCCTCGCAGATCCTGCCCACGGCCGAAGAGACCTGGCTTGGCCTGGAGACCATCATGGGGCATGTCCGCGACCATCTTTATTAGGGCTCTGGGGACGCGCGAACACCATTAAAGTCTTGTTGATTTGAAGCAGAGCTGGGTTGTGCTGGTTTCTGTTTTGAATCCTCATCTGGGAGCAAGCCCCTGCCCCGTCCCCCTTCATTTTCCAAAACCAAAAAGATTCATCCTAAGCAAAATGTTCCCAATTTCCTTTAGAATTTTTTTATTGTGATAAATTATACATAATATAAACTTGATCATTTTGATCACTTCGCATGGGCTGGCATTGTGGCATACAGGGTGAAACCCCTTCCTGCAATGCCAGGATCCCTTATGGGCACAGAATCAGGTCTTGGCCGCTCCACTTCAATCCAGCTCCCTGCTAATGGCCTGGGAAAGCAGCGTAAGATGGTCCAAGTGCGTGGGCCTCCACACCCACGTGGGAGACCTGGAGGAAGCTCCTGGCTCCTGGCTTTGACTGGACCCAGGCCTGACTGTTGTGGCCATCTGGGGAGTGAACTAGTGGATGGAAGACTTCTCTCTAGAACTATTTCAAATAAAATAAATGTAATTTTTTAAAGAGCATTTGCAATGTCACACCACTGTTCATCTCTAGAACGTTATTGTCATCCCAAACTGAAACTCTTTCCCCATTAAACAGTAACTCCCCTTGCCCTCTCCCTCCTGCCTGCGGTTAGGACGGCTGCACTTTCTGCCTGTCTCTGAATTTGCCTATTCTTGGTGTCTCTTAGAAGTGGGATCATACAGTTTGTCCTTTTGTGTCTGGTTTATGTCTCTAGGCATAATGATTTCAGGGTTTCAGCCTGGTGGTATGCAACATAGGTCAGCTCCTTCATCCTAAAGTTGATGAGCAGCGTTTTAGAGCAAGCAATGCACTTTTGAGTTCACTTATTGGATAAACACTAATGAATCCAGCACAGGTACCAGGCATTACATTCTGTGCCGCCTCCTCTGGGTCCATCGTTGCCACTGGCTTTTCCATTTCTGGAATGCTGCATTGTGAAAACTGGTAGGAACCCAGACCTACAATCTTCCTGTCTTTATTTTTTAAAAAGATTTATTTTATTGATTTGAATGACAGAATTACAGAGAGAGAGGGAGAGACAGAGAGAGAGGTTTTCCATCTGCTTGTTCACTCCCCAAATAGCCGTAATGGCTGGGGCTGGGCCAGGTCGAAGCCAGGAGCTTGGAACTCTATCTGAGTCTATCACATGGGTGGCAGGGGCCCAAGTACTTGGGCCATCTTCTGTTGCCTTCCCAGGTGCATTAGCAAGGAGGTGGATTGGAAGTGGAACAGCCAGGACTTGAACTTGCACTGTGATATAGATGTTGGTGTCACAGGTGGCAGCTTAACTCTCTGTGGCACAATGTCAGCATTATTTATGATGGTGATTTTAAACACGACTCAAGAGGCTTCTTGTTGAGTCAATTTTTTAATGTTTATTTGTTTTATTATTTATGAGAGAGAAAGAGAGTTTGTATTTGCTGGTTCATTCATTCCCCAAATGCTCACAACAGCTGGGGTTGGGCTGAGCCAAAGCCAGGCCTAGGAGCCGGGAACTCAATCCTGGTCTCCCACAGGGGTGGTAGGGACCCAACTACTTGAGCCATCACTGTTGTCTCTCAGGAGCTTGGGCATCTTAGCTGCTAGGCCAAATGTCCACTCCGCTTACCATTCTAACAAATGTCAGAACAATTATTCGTTAATGCTTCCAACAGTGGCCCTCAGTTTTACCCACTCCCCTTAGGTAACTATGGAAAGAACGGAACAGCGAGAGGGGGAGTTCTCGTGGAACTCCCAGGACAGACTCAAAGGCCCCAGATCCGCCTGAAGAAATCATGGAGATCAAGGATTTCTCCCATGTACTCTGCTGTGGCTCGGCAAGGACACCAGACTCACAGTCTAGCAAACCTAAGAAAATCTTATCAGTGATTCCATTAAGCCATAGCCGTACTTTTGACCCCAAGGAAAACTGATGGTTTATTCAGAGTAACAGGACCTTCCTATCATGTTTATCTCATATTTCTGTTTTCTTAGAGGAATCATTAGAATTGGGCCTGAGATCCACAAATGCTCCCCATCACGACCCACACTGGTGGGCTTCTCTGACGAGGCTTGGCAGGTGTGCGGTCTGGCACTCGCTCTGCTGGTCACCCCAGAGGTACCTCCATCCTGGGTCGGCACGGGGCCTCTCCCATCGGTGCAGATCCCACCCAGCTCTCTGGGACTGTCTTACTTATGGAAGCCACATGACTGAGAGGCCAAGAGATGGCCCCCTGAAGCAGCAGACGTTCCCAGCTCGTGGAACAAGTTCCTGACCTTGTAGATCAGGACGCCCAGCCTTGATCACTGGAAAGGAATGGGAGAGGCTTAGCTAGGGGCCCGCCTCCTGTGCCCTCAGAGTCGCAAGGGTGCTTGGGAATCACGTTAGCATTGCTGAGGACGTGAGTCTGCCTCACGCTCCCTATAAATACAGCTTGACTCAGCCGCCGGGTGACCGACACCTTGGGACATGAGGTGGCTCCTGCTCGTCGCGACCCTCATCGGGTCCAGCATCTGTGGCCGAGAGAAATTTTTGGGGTAAGTTCCTTTGGACTTATTAATTGGTTGTTTCAGAAATGTGGGAGCCAGTGGAAATGAGGGCAGATGATGCCTCGGGTAGTAGGGCCTAGGGAGAAGAAGCCTTGGGTTTTCGACCTGGCTTTGCCTCCGTGTCGTCCTGGACAAGTCGCTTCCACTCTGAGCCCTGCTTTCATCTGTGAGATCTGGACAAGGTGGTCCCCCTTGCCTCCTCCCCACCTCCCCGATCTCCTGTCAGTTCTTCTTCCTGATTCTTATTTGTCAGTGTCGGGTATCTCTGACGCTCTTAGTCCTGTATTTGTTATTGTTGCTGCTCTTTGCCATGTTCAAGGGGAAGACCTGGGTGATGGGCTTCCTGGCTTCACTTGGTTTTCTGGGACGTGAAGATTTAGTAGGTCCTGCCCAACTACAGTCACAAGAACTGACATGAGGGGACGCAAGCCGGGCCACCTGTGCACACGGAATGCTCTGAGGTTTGCAAGAGAGACGGTGCGCAGGTCGCGGAGACGAACGCATGGCATGGCAGGGTGTGCTGCGGGCAGACTGAATGCTGACTGCTCAGCACTGCCTAACGCGGTGCCATTTGCAAGGTGCTTCAACTTGTGGTTCACGCAACAACTCTGCCTGGCAGGGCTGTTCTTTTCCTCCGCGTAAACATGAAAAAACTCAGCCTTAAAAAGGCTAAGGAACCCGCCCAAGGCCACTTAGCTGGTAAGCAGGGGACCAGGAACTCTGAATGCAAACCCTGTTCTGCTGCAACCCAAGTTCACCTCCACATAGAAGCCTCTATCTCCCGGGTCTGTGCCTGTCTGTTAGCCTCGTATACCACCTGGCTAAAGGGACTTGGGGTTGTTTATTGAGGTAATTACTTAGATGAGATTGAGTAATTTTCATGGGGACGACTTCTGTTCACACCTGTCTCTCTCCTGCTAAACAGCTCGGAGGGGTGAGGCATAGCCCGTGGCCAGGGAGGGACAATTTTTCGCTGGCAGCTCAGCAGTAGGTGCGTCATAACTACACCTGCCGCTGCGTGGGCCGGAGCACGGAGCTGTCAGCTCCCGCCGCAGCTTCTCACGCAGCTCCACAACCTCTGTTTCTCAGGATTCCCGCCCGTCGTACGAGGTTGCGGCCACCTGGGCTGGGCCTTCGAGTTGACCGCAGAGGTTTTGAACAGAAAGAGCCGAGGGCCTGAGTGGATGATTTCACCCAGTGGCGTCATCCTCATCCCGCATCTCTTCTTACTCCACAGTCGTGGACCCAGCAAACGTGGTGGCATCCTCCCTGGGGCCCAGGGACGTTTCAGTGAGCAGTCGGGGCGAGGGGAAGCGCCCGCTGAGCACTCAGGTGGGCGGGCGGCCAGGACGCAGGATGACCGAGCGCAGGAGGATGTGCCCTCTCGCCTGTCTCCCTTCATCCCCTCTATCTCACGGACCTCCCCAGTCCTTCTTGCTCTGCTGGTGTCTTTTGGCCTGACCTTTAGGCTTTTTAAGGATGGGACGGTGGCCAGGATGTCTGGAGATGCTGGGCAGGCAGAGAACAGGAAGTAGTGGCAGAACCGGCTGTGGCATCTGCAGCAGCTGGCAGGTGTCGGAGCGCCCTGGGCAACCGCCTCTTCCTTAAGCGTCGCTGCTCGTAGTGGCTGCCGAGCCTGGCTGGAGATGCAGAGGAGGAGACACAGAGGAGGGGTCCCCAGTCACCTGCCTGCGTGGGAAAGGCAAAGGACAGAAGCTCAGTCCAGGGGCAGCTGTTGCTTGTCCAGAACTTGGCACAAGGCAAGGACGATTTCCAAACAGAGACACAGGCTGCCCTGCCCTTCGTACACCAGCCCCTCGCAACCGCTCTGCTTTCAGATCTCGGCGTGCTTCACGCCTAAGAACGTCAGACCCTGCCGTCCCTGCCTAGAGACTGTGTCCAGGCTTTGCTTGCTCTGGTTGGGGAAAGCCTCACGGCGGACGGGAGTGGGTCCTGAGAGAGACCGCCAGGCATATCAGGGAGGGGACTGGGGCTGCAGGCGCAGGGATCGGCCCGTGGGAAGTCAAACAGGAGTGAACGTGCATGGTGAACTTGGGGCTTCAGGGGCACTGGAGCCAGGCGGAGGTGGGAGTGAGAGGAGGGGAGACAGAGACGGACAGGCAACGTTCCGCAGCAGCCCTTCCGTCCGGCCCCCTGCACTCTAGGGGTGTTGCCTTAAGCCTGGAGCTTGGCGAGGAGAGCGTGAGTGAGTTGTGGATTTACTCTTCTTCAGGGCCTCTGAGAGGCACTGTGTCCCTGCCGTGGCCTTGCCCAGGAGTAGGCAAGTTCTGCTTCTGCAAAACCAGAGTGCGTGTGCTGGATGAATGTGTGACGTGGTCTCCACGCTTGTCCTTACGTCCCCCATTGTTTCCCCTGCTCCTCCCCCGACCCCTCTGTAATTGCTTATGCCTAATGTTGCCGCTGGAGGCGTCCACACACAGGATCTTTCTAGATTGCCCACTTCACTTTTTTTTCTTTTTTTTTAATTATCTGCTTATTTGATGGTGAGGCAGGGAGATGGAGAAAGAGAGAGATAGCAAGATACAGAGTTCCCATCCATTGGTTTACTCCCGCAGGGCCTTCAACCATCAAAGCTGGGCTGGCCCAAATCTGAGAACCGGGAATTCTACCCATGTGGGTGGATGGAAGGGATCCAAGTGCTTCAGCCACCACCTGCTGCCTCCCAGGAAATGTATTCGCAAGAAGCTACAACTGGGAGCAGGGCCAGGACTCAGGCCCAGGCATTCTGGTGTGGGATGTTGTGGGTATCTTAACAGCTACCCCAAACACCTACTCCATAGGATGCCCATATGGAAAATATATTTACTTAATTTATTGGGGGGGGGGCAAAAAAGATTTCCTATATGTTGGTTCATTCCCTCCAATGCCTGCGATTGCCAGGGCTGGGCCAGGCCAAAGCCAGGAGCCTGGAACTCAAGCTAGGTCTGTGTGGGTGGCAGGAACACAAGTACTTGAGCCACTATCCGCTACCCACAAGGGTGCACATTAGCAGGCAGCTGGGATTGGAAGTGGAGCTGGGAGTCCAACCCAGGCACTTTAACCACTGCGCCAAATGCCTGCCCCAGAAAGCCTGTTTAAAGCACCCCTTTGGGGCCAGTGCTGTGGCGTAGAAGGTTAAGCCTCTGCCTGCAATGCTGGCATCCCATGTGGACGCTGGTTCACGCTCTGGGTGCTCCACTTCCAATCCAGCTCCCTGCTAATGCTCCTGGGAAAGCAGTGGAGATGGCTCAATTGTGTGGGCCCCTGCGCTCATTTGGGAGACCCAGAAGAAGCTCCTGGCTCCTGGCTTTGGCCTGGCCCAGCCCCAGCGGATGGAAGCTTGCGCTCTCCCTTCTCTCTGTATCTGCCTTTCAAATAAATAAGCCTTAAACAAAAATAAATACAGCAGCTCTTTCTCTGGTATCTCGGAAGCAGGTTGTGACAGAACATGGGTTTGGCAGGCTGGTCCTTGTTCTCAATCAGGAATAAGGCTTTCCCTTCTGTGTTTTTTTTTTTTTTAGATTTATTTATTTATTTGAAAGGCAGAGTTAGAGAGAGGAAAAGGCACAGAGAGAGAGAGTCTTCCATCTGCTGGTTCACTCCCCCCATGGCTACAACTGGTTCACTCCAGACGGCTGGAGCTGCACTGATCTGAAGCCAGGATCCAGGAGCTTCTTTGGGGTCTCCCACGTGGGTGCAGGGGCCCAAGGACTTAGACCATCTTCTACTGCCTTCCCAGGCCGTAGCAGAGAGCTGGATTGGAACCAGCGCCCATGTGGGATGCCGGTGCTGCAGACCAGGGCTTTAACCTGCTGCGCCACAGAGCCGGCCCCGCCCCTTCTGTTTCAAATCCTCCCTTTGGCAAGGCTGCTTGCCCATGCCTGGGGAAAGTGGTTTGACTCCCACCTGCCCAGGGCTGCAATCCCACTTTTTTTTTTTTTTTTAAAGATTTATTTATGTATTTGAAAGTCAGACAGCGGGAGAGGCACAGAAAGAGAGAGAGAGGTGTCTTCCATCTGCTGGTTCACTCCCCAGATGGCTGCAATGGCCAGGGCTGGACCAGGCTGCCCTGTCTCTTGGGCATCTCATGAGGGCTCCCTTGGCCACACATCAACACGGCAATGGCACCGCGGTGGGAGTGTGTGCAAGAGGGAGCAGTCACAGTTTGACGAGAAGCCGGACGGTGAGAAGGACTCAGACTTGTTCTTTTATGAGCACCTGCTCCTGTGGGAACTAACTCGAGTCCCTTGAAAACTGTTCATCCCTGCCAAGAACCAAGGGCCTGGGTGCTTGAATGCTCCACCACTGCCCAACACTGCCCTCCAGGGACTCAGCTTCCAACACAGGGACCCTTGGGGAGCCCTCTCAGGCCCTATCCCAACCCCCAGCCAGCCAGGCGTGTTCACCTGGGCTTTCAGCCACTCTGCTGGAGGCAGTTAGCTGCCCACCCCTCAGCCCCGGTGGGGCTGGGCTGGTAGGCGAGGGCAAGCCTGGCAGGGGAACAACTCTAAAGTGGATCTTGCCTTCTTAGGGGCTGGCCTAGGCCCTCCTGGAGAGTCCCCAGAATCTTCCCGAAGCAAGTGAAGTCCTGAGGGTCTGTCTGGATGGAACTGGTTTCTTTCTAATGAGGCGCTGCCCCGTGAGCCCACAGCCCCCCTGCAGCAGCGCGCCCCGCATTCACTCGTGTCAAAAGATGACGCATGTGACAGTGTCGAGTGCGGATGCAGTTGGGCCGTCACTTAGCAACGGGCTAATGGCTCCCCTGGCTGCCCGAGCGGGCTAGGAGCACAAAGGCAGCTTTTCAGGCCCGGCCTTCTCCCACCCACACACGGGACTCGGGGGGCCTCTCCCCCTGCCGCTGCTGCGGAAGTGAAATAAAGTATACGAGACAAGGGCAGGACAAGCAACAAAGGAGGCCGCCCCGGCGGGCAGGGTGCCTTCTCAGGGCCCTGTGTGGAGGAGCCATGCCCAGGGTCGGCCCCTAGCACCCGGGGCCACTCGCTGTTGCTGGCTGCAGTGTGCACTGGTGTAGGATTCTGGGGCTGGCAGCCAGGCAGCGAGCCCCCGGCCTCTCCCGTCTTTAGGAGGAAGGCAGCCAACCTTCCCCGGGACGGAGCCTCTGCCAGGGTTTCAGGCCTCACCCTTGACAGTGAAGAAGTGCTTCTTTATGTCTCCAGTTAGCTTTGCGTGTAACTCAGGAACATTCCTTTCTGTAAAATATATATGTTTTTCATTATAAAGTAATATGACTACATTACAAAAAACAGATACAAGGAAAAAAAATCAGTCATCCATAATCCCACGACCCGAACTTGAGCGCTGTCAGCATTCGCTATATTTCCGTTGTCTGTTTCTCTTCCAATGCATCTGCTTTTTCCATACTTGTGATCATGGCATGCATACAATTTTGGGTCCTGCTCTTTCACTTACTATTTTCCTTAAAGTTATACCATAAGCACTTTTTCATATTTGCCACGTAGTCTTATTTTTAATGGCTATACATTATAACCAAAGACGCGACCATTTCCTCTCGTTCGGCCTCGTTCTGTCTGGAATTGTAGGCTTGGGGTTTTATTTGCCAGCTGAAAGCTCACCATTATCTTGTGTGTGTGTGTGTGTGTGTGTGTGTGCATTTTTTTTTTTCTTCTCCAGGGACCAAGTTTTTAGGATTAATGTCAGAAATGGAGACGAGATCAGCAAATTGAGTTGGCTGATGAATTCGGACAACTTTAAGGTATGTGGTGTTTCGTGGTTGTCCCACGTATCTTCTGCCATTGGTGGGAGAAGACCCTCGCACTAAAGGGATTTTTATTTTTTATTCGAAAGCTCTTTTATGTCCAAAGGTTCTTCAAAGAGCTCACGAAAAAAGGAACATTATGAAAAACCACACATGAGTTGAAAAAGTTTTTTTTTGCACCAACATAAGCTTATCTTTTTATCTATTTATTTTTTTCTTAAAGATTTATCTTACTTGTTTGAAAGGCAGAGCGATATAGAGAGGGAGAGACAGAGAGAGAGGTCTTCCATCTGCTCGTTCACTTTCCAAATGGCTGCAGGGGCCGGGGCTGGGCCATGCCGGAGCCAAGAGCTCCAAACAGATCTCCCACCTGGGTGGTAGGGCCAAGGGCTTGGGCCACTTTCTGCTGCCTTCCCGGGAGTATTAGCAGGAGGCTACATGGGAAGTGGAGCAGCCGGCACTTGAACTGGTGTTCTGTTACGGGATGCTGACGTCGCAAGTGGCAGCCCCTAAACTTGTCCTTTCAAGTCCCCTCGGATGATCCTGTACTAGTCAACGTGCCACAGACACAGCTGAGAATGGACAGGATTGATGGGCAGAAGAGGCACTGTGGTTGACAGCAGTGCCGTCCTGGGAGGTGCGGCCTGAGCAGCTGGCTCTGTCCTTCCAGCTGCTACTGGACTGTCACTTCTTGGCTGCTGCTTGCCGGACAGGCCTGGCCAGATGCAATTGTGAAATGGACAAAGTTTGTCCTTGGGTGGAACCTGGCCCCTCGGGTATCACCCTGGCTTTTGGCGGTAGTTCTCGAAGAATGAGTTCATTGTGCCTTTTACCTGAACTGCCCTTTAACCTGGTTTTATTTCTGTTGCCTTCAGCTCAATGTCTGGAAATCTCCCTCCACCTTTGGTCGGCCGGTAGATGTCCTGGTCCCATCTGTCAGCATGCAGTCAGTCAAGTCCTTCCTGGCATCCCAGGGCTTGGAGTACTCAGTGACAATTGAAGACCTACAGGTGGGTAGCCCATGGCTCCTCACTGGTCTTGCATAGGCCCAGGCTGCCGGTTGAGAATGGACCTATTTCACAGATGAAAAGACTGAGGCAAACAGAAGAAGAGTAGGAACAATGTGTTGTGGAAGAAAGGGCACCCCTAGTTTAGGGAGCTTCACAGATCCGGATCCAAACCCCCGACTCGGCTAACTCCTAGCACTGTGTCTTCAGATAAGCTGTTACCGTCTTGAGTCCCCATTTCGCCAGCAGTGACATGGTGAGAACTGAGTCCTCCTTCGTGGGATTTATGGAGAAGACGCAGTGGTTAAACGCATACAGGATGTCTAACAGTGCCTGGTACATCCTAGATGTGCCATTAAGGGAAAACTGCCTCTCGCTTGCTTTTTTTGGAAGCCAGGAGGCAAGAGCAGAGTGGGGGTGGGCTTTGGAGAGCCGTCTACGAAGCCCCCTTTGAGGAAGGGAGGAGGAGTGTGGCCAGCAGCCCCCGGCCGGGGGGACTTCCCCGTGCAGTAGGGACTGCCCTCTCCTCCACCGAGGTGGGTTGTGGACTAATTGGTGATTTGGCCCGGGCGTCTCCTGATGGCGTGAGCAGCTGTGAGCGTATTAATCATCCTCCCGTGTCACAGACATCTGCCAGGAACCTTCAAAGTATGAGTGGTTATGAGGATTTCTTTGTTTCAGAGTGGTTTCCCGAGCTGTGTGTTTCAGGGGCCCTGCGTACCAGATGCAGGCGGATTCTGCAGGGCTCCTACCGTAGAATAACCAAATAGCACGTATGTTGGGTTTTAAATGGAGGGATGTAAATCGGGCATCCAGGAGTAAAATTTTACAGATACACGAAGGAAACCTGACCCCCTTGTAAACCTTGGCATTTGTGCCACTTGACATGCTGAGGGCACGGCCATTTTGGCCGGACCACGTACCAAGCTGTAGCAGGAGGCCCGGGAGCCTACATCTGCAGTGGGTCACTGGACGACACTGCTGTGCGTGTGTTTTTAGGCCCTGTTAGACAACGAAGATGAAGAGATGCAACAGAACGAAGGGCAGGAACGGAGCGGCAGTGACTTCAACTATGGCGCGTATCATTCTCTGGAAGCCGTAAGTGTCCAAGGGCAGGTTTGGCATCTCGCTCCTCTGCGCCCTGACCATGCGGCCCCTCTCCTTACTCGCAGGGGGTATTGGTCTCCAGCGTGGGATCGCTCCACTGAGGGACTAACATGTGCAAGTGTCAGTTCCTTTCTCATTCTTGCATTAACTGCCACCAGCACCTAAGAGCGCAGTAAAACCCGAACTAGCCATTTTCTCCCACACGCCTCCTTCTTTTCTTAGGCAAAGCCCTTCAGGAAAACCGTGAAATAATCGTAACCATTTCCAGTCCTTGTAATTCAACCTTCTCCCACCCCACCACGATCCCTCACCCAGAATAAAATGTACTTATTCCAGGCAAGTAGACAAGTGGTTATTTCCAAGGTTAACCAAATATTTCCACTCATTGATCATGACTACTTATAATGTATATTTGTTCCCTAATGCATTTTGGTGCTGTGTTCAGTTAGAAACCACTTTATAGAGATGACTGACTTTCAAGGGAAGCCAAACCTATAAATGAAAAAGTTGGAGCAGAAATAATTACACACGATGCTGGAACCTGAGAAATCCCAGGGGACTGCACAGAGCCCGGTGCGTTTCTCTTACGCCCTCCGGGATCCTCTGCGTTCGTCTGCAAACTCGCCACTGGTTCACGAATAAAGGACCAGGCTCCGTCGGTATGCTCCCTCCGACACCTGAGGACAAGCTGTTCTGGGCGTGCAGACACCGTGTTCCTGGCATGCTTTTCCCAGGACATAGACTTTGAGCTGCTTTCTTCTGCATGAGGGATTATTTCAAAGGCTGACCGGCTCTTTCCACTGCTTTCCCATGCTTGTCAGTAGCTTTGTTTATTGTGTACACTTCCAACCACGCTGCCCCCTGATCCCGCTTGAGACCAGGGACATACATCTGCAAAACAGCTGGATAAAGTTAGGAGTTCAGGCTCAGGCCATGGACGAAAGCAGAGCTCGGGGCCCACACAGGGATCAAAACCGTGACGCTAGCCTCATTAACGTGGGGCCCTCCCCAGCTGATCTAAGCGGTTGCAAATGTCACCCGTGACTCCAGAGGGGCCCGGCTCTGCCTTGCTGGCTGCTGCAGCTTCGCCTTCTCACCCACTCACCTTGGTTTCCCTGGGACTGGGTGTCCTCCGGCATCCGGTTCACGGCTCTCTCTTGCTCGCAGGAGGCCTCTGGCTGGGCACCGGCGTGCCATCTCCCTCTTAGGGCTCTAGTGGGAATTTCATGCGTGTCCCTGCCAAGGTTTCTGGTTCTAGATTCTTTGTGCGTGTCCCTCTTGATTTCTCTAGATCCGTTGTGGTTGGCAGCGTGCGTCTGGGCGCCGCATCGGGACACAGCTTGGTGTTCTGACTTTTCCTGGACGACTTTTTCCTCTCATGGCTCAGGACAGCCACCCTGCTGCTCCTTCACCCTCCAGGGCCAGCGGGTAGAATTGCCAAGCCCTTTATGAGGCCAGAACTGCCAATTCCCAGCTCCTCGCCTTGCACTGGTCCTGTGCCTTGTACTCTTCTCTCTGGTTTGCTTCCGCCCTGAAAGGCCCAGTGCAGCTCCATGGCTTGGTTTCCTGCACTCCACCTGCTGCTAGCTCCCTCTTCGCTCTGCCACCTACACTTAGCCCTCCTTTAGCAGTTAGGCTTGGCTGGGAACCATTTGTGTCGTGTGCTATTTGCTTGCCTGTGTGTTTTGGGGTGAGGTTTCCTGTTTCTGCTCAGTGTGGAGTATCCACTGCAAGTCTGATAAACTCTTTAAGCTTGACTTTATTCTCTACCAATTTCACATTTTCCTCTTCTGTATAATACCTTCTTCCCATCTTAAGGACAGAATTTTGAAATCTGAGCAACAAATATGGGTAAACTCTATTTAAATAATTTTTTTTCTTTTCTTCCCTTTTTCTCCCCCAAAAGCAAATGGGTGTATTTTTAGCCATTTTTCTAGTTCTTTGCTTATTTTCACAAGCCTTTAAAGAAATCATTTCCAAAGTTGTGTGCCTATACCCCAGGGTGTAAGCAAGAGGGCCCACCAGGAGGGAAGAAACTACTACGCCTTCTATTTATTTCTCTGTATTTATACTTATTACTAATGCAACCATTTTCATAATATACATAATACATTTGTGTGGTAGCATATTAGTATGCATCTGAGGGTATCTCAAAATGTTTGTGGAAAAAATGGAATTAAAAGTTAAACTTATTTTGGCATACAGATTTTGAAATCCATGCAAAGAAAAGTGTTTTCAAAAAGGTCATTGGTAATGCAGACTATTTAAAAGCTGTACATAGATTTTTTTTTTTATTTGACAAATAGAGTTAGTGAGAGAGAGAGAGACAGAGAGAAAGGTCTTCCTTCTGTTGGTTCACCCCCCAAATGTGATCCGAAGCCAGGAGCCAGGCGCTTCCTCCTGGTCTCCCATGCGGGTGCAGGGCCCAAGCACTTGGGCCATCCTCCACTGCACTCCCGGGCCACAGCAGAGAGCTGGACTGGAAGAGGAGCAACTGGGACTAGAACCTGGCGCCCATATGGGATGCTGGCACCGCAGGCGGAGGATTAACCAAGTGAGCCATGGTGCTGGCCCTGTACATAGATTTTAAAATTTCAAAAGCAATTTACTAAATTAAAAATAAACTTTATAAAATTAAAAAGGTAAATCTCTTTAACTCCATTTTCCATGAACTTTTTGAAGCTCTTCTATTTATGGTCCATGCTATAATTATGATCTTATTTTTTTGGTCTGGTGTAGAAAGTAGTCACAACATTTTGAAAAGTCTTGCCACAGACAGCCTGGGCAGGTGGGCACGTGGCACTGCAGTTGGGACGCCCGGGGCCCACGTCAGAGTGCCTGGGTTCAAGCCCAGCTTCCTGCTGATGCAGACCCCGAGAGGCAGCAGGTGCCACTCAAGTGCTTGGGCCCCTGCCTCTCTCACTGGAGACCTGGACTGAGTCCCCAGCTCCCAGCTTCAGCCTGGTCCAGCTCTGGCTGTTGGGGGCATCTGGGGAGTGAGCAAGTGAATGGAGCTCTCTGTTTCTTTCTCTGCCTTTTACATAAATAAACCAACTTAAAGTAAAAAAGAGCCTTGGATAAGCGGAGATGTTGCAAAGGCCCACACGGTTAACACAGTATCTTGTTAAGACAGGGTCTGTGCAAGTCTCCCCACTACAGTTTCGTAAAGTATAATTTGGTGGACACATGAAATATGTCATACCCTAGCACACTTAGGAAAGGACTGTCCAGGCAGTTCCTTGTGATAAGCACTCCAGGCTGATAACACATGGTCAACCCTAAGGTTGAGAGCCTGGAAGAAATCTTTGAGATCAACAAAATAAACAGACATCCATCCAGACCTGGACACATTTTCCAAAGGTCCCTGGGTTCCCTTTTGTACGCTTCAGATTTACCACGAGATGGACAGCATTGCCACGGATTTTCCTGACCTGGCAAGCAGGGTGAAGATTGGATGTTCGTTTGAGAAGCGGCCCATGTACGTCCTGAAGGTGAGGCCCCCGTGCTTGTCAGGGTCCTGATGAGACACGCGCCGCAGGGTGCTTGCGCCCAGGATTCCACCCTTAGAACGCTGGAGGGGTAGCGGTTTAGACCCCTTACACTCCAGGAGGCTCCCCTGGGGTAGAGTTGGTCTGGCAGAATCCCTTCCTTTCGTCTAACATGAGGGGAGTTGGAAGGAGCACATCCCATTCAAGTTTTGACTGAGAGACAGAGTCAGAGGGCGGGCAGGCAGTACCCCAGAAAGTTCTCAGAGGAGCCAGAGTCCTGCCTTCTTCCAACTTCTGCAAACAGCAGGTCGGGCAGTGACAGGTGTCTACGTTCCATTCTGCTTTTAGGAGTGCTCACTGGAGAAGCAACCAAAGGAGCTGACGTTAGGATTGATGTAGTCCTGAGCCCAGCCTCAGATCACTGGCTGCTCAAAGCCCAATTTTTGGATATTTCAAACAGATTCAGATCTCTATTGGCAAAAGAGGTAGAAAACTATGACAATGACAGAGATAAGCCAGCTGATGAACAAAAAGGAATTTAGCCATGGAATAACGATGGTGCTGAGAATTTGTCAAACCCTTAGCTTCACATAAGCCCCAAAGAACCTAGGTTTATAGTGGTGGGCAAATGCCCAGCAGGAGCGGGGGCTGGCAGTGAGCTGCTTGCTCGGAAATAATTCTATTTAGTCTATTTGCCCACATGATGGAGACTCTGGCTTCATTAGCACCAAGCCCGGACCCAAGGGGCCCCAAAGGCAGGAGCCGGAATTCATTACTGCCACTTACAAAGAGTTATAGTGGACTCCCCCCCACCCCCCCACCCCCCGCCATTTAAAACCAGGTTCACTTATTGCAGCAGCTAGAACAGCCTGGACGCGTACCCCTGCATCTCTCTCTCTCTCTCTCTCTCTGTTGGGATACCACTTGAGGTCTTTCAAGAGACATAATATTCTCTCTAATCACATGGGCATTCTAATCCACAATCACAATTATTTCTCCTTCCCATTTCCTCTGAACGCCGGAGAGGCTGAGGCCCGGCAGCTGAACCCGCAGCCAACCAATTAAGCTCCCTGGTCACGGATAAGCCTGAGAAATAGATGGGGCCCTCAGGAACATTTGGTCTCTGCATTATCTTAAATGAATTAAATGAATGGGAGCGAGCTGGGGAGAGGGGAGGTGAGGCAGAGCAGGCCGGCGGGTCACTTTCTGGCCTCTCTCTGCTTCTGCAGTTCAGCACTGGAAGAGGAGGCCAGCGGCGGCCCGCCGTGTGGCTGAATGCAGGCATCCATTCCCGCGAGTGGGTCTCCCAGGCCACGGCCATCTGGACGGCGAGGAAGGTCATGTCACCTGGTATTAGCCAAGGATTCGGGTGGGCCCGGGGGCCCTCGGCAGGTCCCATGTGGCTGAGACCCCAGGGGGAGGCGGGAAGGGGCTCTGCACAGGCTGGGCCTTTTCAGACTGCAGAAGCAAAAGGCCAAAGCCCCTTGATTGGCCTGCTGAGGCTAAGTGACAAGGTGTGTTCATGGCGGGGAGCAAGGTCCTGAGGCAGAGGTGGGCCTGACTTGCAATCTGCAGCTAACTCCCATGAGCCTTGCCCGTGGCTCTTGCCACACCTCACAGGCCTTTGGGGACTTCCTGCTGGCTCAGATCCTTCTAGAAAGTCTGTCTGAAGCCAGCACTAGGAGAGGAAGGGTGGTGCATGTGAAAGATACACCTTCCCTACCCCTTTGTTGGGGGCTCCCATTCCTACTGTCTGTGATGTGGCTCCGCCCTCCTGGGAGGAACGAATGAGGTGGGTACCCCAGGGCTCCCTGAGGCTGCTACTATCGTGCAACTGTGCTCCCCAGGGTTGGATGAGTGAGCTGAGCCTCGTGGGCCCCAGGGTGGTGTCGCAGGGTGGGTGCTATTCTTCAGACATCCACTCTAGCCAGATGCCTGCGTGTCAGGAAGACGCGGCTTAGAGGGAGCCACCCAGCTTGCACGGCCTGCCTGACAAGCCCCTGTCTCTGCTTAGATTGCCTCCGACTACCAGAAGGATCCAGCCCTCACCTCCATCTTGGAGAAAATGGATATTTTCTTGTTGCCTGTGGCCAATCCCGATGGATATGTGTACACACAGACTCATGTGAGTAACCCGGTAGGCTGGGCTTGAGCGAAGACTTCCTTGGACTTCCTTGCCTTGCACTAACTGTCTGACCTTTAAGAGAATTTCTACCCCACCATGTGTTATGAAATCCCCTGGGAGCGTGCTTTCTAGTCATTCTCAGCACTGGGACTCACCGGGGAGTATCTGTTCTTAGAGAGACTTGCGTAAGGAACTCCCTGTTAGGATCTTGAACAACCACCAACACCTTACCAATCTCCTTTTCATCTTTCTCCCTCCCACACATTTTTTCCTGACATAATGTTAAAGCAAATCCCAGACATCATGTTATTTTACCCAGAGCTACCTTGGTATGCATCTCTAGATGATAGTTTAAAAAAAAAGAACCGAAAAAATGCACTATACCACTGTTCCTTTAAAGGATTACTAGAAGTTCTTTAACCTCATCAGACACCCCCAGTTGTCTTAAAAATGTCTCTTAAGAGTAATTTTGTTCAAGTTATGATCCGACTAGGCCCACATACTGCACACTCGCCTGATTGCTCTTCTGTTGAACACCACCACTCCCTCTGCACCTTTTTGCAATATCATTCTTTTGTTGGAGGAACCAAGTAATTTCCTGTACAAGGGTTGCACATTCTGAACTTGGCTGATGATTTCTTTGTTGCACCATTGAATTTGTTCCCTTTTCCCCGTATTTCCTATTCACTGGTGGTCAGAGCCAGGGCTTGATTGCATTCAGGTGATTTTTTAGGCGAGACTAAAATACTCGGAGATGCTATGCACTTGGGTTGCACCAGTGAGGCACCTGGCGTCCATCTGTCCTACCTCCCCCAAAGCCAGCCATGACCCAGTGGGTCCAGGTGCTGTCAGCCTGGTCCTCGCATATGAAGTTCTCATCCGGGTGTCTGCGGGGGTCCCTCCCTGAGAGCCAGAGGGGCTCACCCTCCGCTCTGGGGAGACTGCTCTGCTGGTGAGGACAGAGCTCCACCCACTGTGCTCTCCACCACGTTAGCCTCCCAGAGCAACCCCTCAGCCCTCTGTGGCCTGACCTGCCATGTCTTTTACAGAACCGGATGTGGAGGAAGACACGGTCCTTCAATCCCGGAAGCCCCTGCGTTGGCACTGATCCAAACAGGAACTGGAATGCAAGCTTTGCGGGTAGGCGGCGGAGACGGTTTTCAGATCCTGCTGCTACTGATGAGTGCGGCCCACCTCTGTCCTGAGCTGGTGCTCAGGGAGCCAGCTGCACCCCGGTTCTATTGCTGGACCACTGAGGGAGGGGGCCGTCCCGCAGCGCTCCATGCCTCGGGGCTTTGTGTTTCAGTTCTGTTGTGATAACTACAGTTTTATTTATTTTCACTTTATTTGAAAGGCAGACACACGAGTTGAGGGACAGATAGATGACAGATAGATTAATCTTCCACCTGCTGGTTCACTCCCCAAATGCCCACAACAGTCAGGGCTATGCCAGGCTGAAGCCAGGAGGCTGGAACTCCTCCTGGGGTCTGCCACATGTGTGGTAGGGACCCAAATGCTGGAGCCATCACCTGCTGCTTCCCAGTACACCCGTTAGCAGGAAGCCAGAATGAAAAGTGGAGGAGCCAGGTATTTGAGCAGTCTGATATGGGATGCAGATTCTTAACTGCTGTGCCCAATGTCTGTCTCTGTTGCAGTCTTGAAAGGGAATATGCTTCAGGAATTCCTGTCCTCCTGAGAGCCATGGGACACAGCATCTTTCCACTGTGGTTACAATCTACACGAGTGTTTTTAAAACCAGATGTGGTCACCTTGTCCTTGTCCTTGTCCTCGTCGTAGTGTTACCTGGACATGTTGTGGACAGATAGGAGGGTCACTAGTGGCAGCTCAAAAGAGGGCCATCAGCTCTGCTCCCCTAATAGGCATGATGGTGTGGTGAACAGTATGCCTTGAGATGTGTCAGTGTGGACCTTGGCAGCCCACTGTCATGGACAGAGAATGGGTTCTGGGTTCCAGCTATTTGAATGTCAACCCCTATAGATGTGTCAGTTGTGTGCAAGGATTTCCCCGTATATATTTTTATTCTTAGCCAGTGAATGAACTTCATCATCTGAGATGAGGCAGCTGATGGTCAATGTCAAGAGTCTGTGACAGCCGGCGCCACGGCTTACTAGGCTAATCCTCCGCCTTGTGGCGCCGGCACACCGGGTTCTAGTCCCGGTTGGGGCGCCGGATTCTGTCCCGGTTGCCCCTCTTCCAGGCCAGCTCTCTGCTATGGCCAGGGAGTGCAGTGGAGGACGGCCCAGGTGCTTGGGCCCTGCACCCCATGGGAGACCAGGAAAAGCACCTGGCTCCTGGCTCCTGCCAGGATCAGCGCGGTGCGCCGGCTGCAGCGGCGGCCATTGGAGGGTGAACCAACGGCAAAGGAAGACCTTTCTCTCTCTGTCTCTCTCTCTCACTGTCCACTCTGCCTGTCAAAAAAAAAAAAAAGAGTCTGTGACAGCCGGCGCCACGGCTTACTAGGCTAATCCTCCGCCTTGTGGCGCCGGCACACCGGGTTCTAGTCCCAGTCGGGGTGTCAGGTTCTGTCCCGGTTGACCCTCTTCCAGGCCAGCTCTTTGCTGTGGCCAGGGAGTGCAGTGGAGGATGGCCCAAGTGCTTGGGCCCTGTACCCCATGGGAGACCAGGAGAAGCACCTGGCTCCTGGCTTCAGATCAGCACAGTGCGCTAGCTGCAGCGCGCCAGCCATGGCAGCCATTGGAGGGTGAACCAACGGCAAAGGAAGACCTTTCTCTCTGTCTGTCTCTCTCACTGTCCACTCTGCCTGTCAAAAAAAAAAAAAAGAGTCTGTGACTGATTAGACTTAGGGCCCCAACTCACCTTCCAATCCCAAATCCAGGCTCTCGTCCTACGCTGCAGCAGTATCAATGTCTTGTTTTGAGCGTACAGCCTTCACTTACATAGAGATACCACAAAAAATGAATGACTGTGGGAAAGGAGCTGATAGAAATGTGGGAACCGAGGCCATCAAAGTCAAGGCAGAAATTCCCACAGCTTAGGTGGTTTCTCTCACACACCCCACCCTGAAACCTCGGGGAGATATCTTGCGAAGTAACTCAGAAAGTAGTATTTCTAAATACCTGTCAAATAACCAAGAGATTTTAGCCACAACAATATATTATTTTTGGCAGCAGCTGGCCATTAAAATCTGAACCTAGAGAATAAGTTGACATCAGAATAAATGGAGTCGTTTTCATTATTTATTGGTATTCATATTAATTACCTAGAACACTTATTAATTACAACTCATTCTTAAGTATGATATTAATTATTTATGACAACTTCTGTTGGTATAATATGAGGTCAACTCCATCCATTTTTTTTTTTAACTCTATCCATTTCAAGAATACCTCACAAGTCTCCTCCATGCTGGTGGCAAATCCAGCCCCTGATCACCAGTCCCCTTTGTCCCTTCCTGCAGTCCCCACACAGAGCCTGGACCAGGTCTCAGGGGCATCCAGCAGTGGCCTGCCTGTGGCCAGTGCCTCCAGTTCCTCCTATGGGGTGTGTGTCCTGCATTTCTGTTTTCTTGGCTTATGGGTTAATGCTTCTCCATGCACTGTCTCCCCCAGGACAGGGAACCAGTGCCAACCCTTGCTCCGAAGTGTATCATGGCCCCCATGCCAATTCAGAAGTGGAGGTGAAATCGGTGGTAGATTTCATTCAAAATCACAGGAATTTCAAATGCTTCATCGACCTGCATAGCTACTCTCAGCTGCTAATGTATCCATATGGGTATACTGTCAAGAAGGCCCGGGATGCAGACGAGCTGGTGAGTGATGGTGCCTCTATCCATCCCTAGGCTGCTGCCCAGGGCTTGTTCTGCAGCATTAGAGCGACAGCTGGGGAGCCCGGGCGTGCTTCCTTGGGGGTTCACTCTTCTCTCCTTGCCCCTTGGGATGCACCATCAGCCCCACCAGGGACAGGAAGAAGACCGTGCCCTTATTTCTGCCTTTGCTTTCTCCTGGTTTTCCTAATTGAAGCACATTACAGACCGGCTGCTTGCACCTGGCGCTGGGGTGGGCAGGGGTAGGTGCTCCTCAGGCCGGTCAAGGCAGACTGGAAAGAGGGTGGAGGCCACAGTGTAGGGGTGCTGTGTGATGTCCAGAGACTCACCCCAGCAGGTGCATCTGGGGTGACTGCTGCCTGAGAGAGCCCATTATCTCCCCCCTGCCGCCCCGAGGCCCTGTCTGTACCTCTACGCCAGCAGACAGCTCTTCCAGGGCCTTCTCTTGGACATCCTTGGCCTTCCCTCCCTCAGGGCGGACAAAGGTGCCTTTGCTGCATTCCTAAGGGGCCGGTGAGCTGCCCACAGACCACTGGAGAACTTGACTCCCTCTCCTGCAACTTGAGGACATAACGCGTGCACTTGCAGAATGCTTGTCTGTCTTCTTCCTCTTCTCTCTTTCCATCCTTCCCCAAACTGGGGATGTGGCAGGAAGCAGACCTGGGTGACACACGCCGTGTGCCTCAGGTCGGAGTCAGGCTTCAGCTCTGCTTAGGTGGAAATGGAGACACCGGAAGGGAGACTCAGGGGATGGACCAAGAATCTTTGGAATCATCACAGTGCAGGACCAGCGGGGAATGTCTGGCTTCAAGACTCATTCTTTCTCTCTCCACCAACTCCTTTCGCAGGACGAGGTGGCGCAGCGTGCGGCCAAAGCTCTGGCTTCCGTGTCGGGCACTGAATACCAAGTGGGTCCCACCTGTACCACTGTCTGTGAGTACTCTCTGTGTGTATTCGTCACTCGGTGCTTTGAGAGGAACCTTGAGATGCAGAGCAGCAGGGAAGACTTCCTACATTGCAGTCTGCTTGTTTCTGTGACTGGCAATGGGATGACTTCACGTGCAGCCCACGTGATAACAGCCGTTGTGGGCAGCTGTGTCCATCAGCGTCATTACCACTCTCGTGCGAGTCATCCTGTGTGCATGACGGGTTAAGTCCCAATAGCGGCTGGACTCTGCATTCTCTCTTACGCTATAGACTTAGACATAGTGTATTAGAGATTCATCCGGCTTGTTCTCCTGGTTTCAAAGGAGACTCACTGTGGGACCGGCAGACGGAGGTGGTCGTGGTGGGGGGTGAGGAGGGCCCGTCACTTTCCAGGAGACTGAGCAAGTGCTGGAGTGTGGCCACCGGGAGCTGGTTCAGGGTTCCCAATAATACGGGGGCTGGGGCCAAAGGAAACACAATCAAGTCCCCAGAACTAAACCTGGTCTGGAGGTTCACGACCCACCACTTCGTTTTGAGGGAGAAACCTGTGTGTGTTTCCCAGTGATCTGTTACATCTGCACAATCCCTCCATTCCTGCTGCGATCCTCCATTCCTTTATGCTGTGAGCCTTTGCTTCTACTGGGGAAAAAGTGTCCCATTTCCAGGCCACTGGCTGCAGGTGGGAAATGGAGGTAAAAACATGGAGGGCAGAGCTGTGGTCCCGTAGAAGGCAGGGCTGTCCTTGTCCCCCTCGTGCTTCCCCGGTCAGCAGTGTCGTGCAGGGTTCCCGCTCAGAGCCCCTGCACTCTCACTGATCAACCTCTTTCCTCTGCAGTCCTGCGTCTCACCTCCATCCTAGCTCACTCCTTAATCACTCAGGAAGATGCTCCAGACCAGGCTCCAGCCTCCTCTGAGCTCAGCTGCAGACAGCAGTTAGGGGACTTGGCATTTGTGTTGCTAATCGCAGCGGAGAGTCATTAACTATTCCTGGTTTATTGTTATTAGTGTTGTTAAATGGGGACTCCTGGGGAGCACAACAGGAGATTTAGCCCTCCTCTGTGTAATTAGCCAGAACTGAGTCAGGGCCCAAGGAGAATGAAAGGAGCCTTCTGAGGAGGTCCTCTCCCTCTCGGAAGATCTTGGCGGGTCACCAGGGTGCCGGCTTACAGGAAAACAACAGTGTTAGTAGTGGTCTCGTCCTGCAACATCACACACATGGTGTCCACACCGTGCTACTCATTAGATTTGCCCAGCGGATTCTGGACAGCCTTCCCGAGGGTCATCCAAGAGACGTGAAATTGCTTACCTCTTTCCAGAGCCCATCTTCTGTGTCCTTTCTAGGCCTGTCTGCTCGCCCCAAGAGCCATCAATTCTTGTCTGACGGCATCCTATCTAAACTCCCGGATTATGGCAAGCGCTACGTAAAGAGCTGACGTTGGTTCCCTCAAGTGTTGGACTTCTCCTTAGCTTAACTCTTTTAGATGAAAATCACTCTAAAATTGATTTCACACTTTCCTGCTGTCTTAATCAGAGCGTATGGAAGGAATCTAAGCCCCTTCCGTTGTGACCTCACGGTTTTCCGACATCCTGATGGTCTGCTGTGCCGTACCGGACTGTCCCTCTGCTCAGCAGCCCAGCCTGTTTGGGTTAATCCTCCTGTCCCCTTTGCAGTGCCTTTACCCCCTCCCTCCTGTCAGAGGTGGCTTGTAACTGCCTATAGCCCAGCTGCCTCTAGCAACCTTCTCACCTCCTCCTCAATGATCCTGCTGTACGAAGGGTTTGCAAACTAAGACTTTGCAAAAGGTCTTTGAGTGCATCTGACTCATCAATCATGAGTACGAAGGGTGTTCACGACAGCATTATTTACAGTCATAAAAGACTGGTAAGCACTGAAATGTCTACCAGGACGACGCTGGATAAATACACGTAGTGCCTTCATGCAGTGAAACACGATGCAGCCCTTAAATGAATGCACTGGATTTATTTGTGCTAATAATCTTCGCTTTTAAAAAGGAAGCTGGAGTTAGGAGTAGGAGCTGGAGCTGGGACCTGAACCCACAGACTGCAAAGCAGGATGCAGGCTTCCTAACCAACCACCGGGTCAAACTTCACCCCCAGCTCCGCCATTTTCCATGTGACTTTGCTCAGTTAAATTAGCCATTCTGAGCCTGGATGTCCTCATCCGTCAAACACGGACAATAATCCCTACCTTATTGAGTTTTTAAAGATTATGAGATCATAAATACAACATTTCTAGTGTAGTTACTGGCTCATGGCAGATGCTGAAGGAATAGCTGCCATTGATAGCATTCCTGTATCATTCAGTATCATCCATACTTTGCACGCTCAGCCGTATCTACCCTAGTGGAGCTGGATCTGGAAGTAACAGAAAACAGGTCTCTTGTCTTTCTGAAGCCTTTTGGCAAAGGGAGGCCCCAAGGATTGTGTTTCCTTTTCTCTGTGTATCTGTTATCGCTTGCTATGTTAAAAGAAATTCCAAAACTTAGCAGCTTAAAACAATAAACATTAATTTTCTTGCGCTGTTCCTTAGTTCAGGAACCCGAGAGTGGCTTGGCTGCTGGCTCTGGCTCAGGAGCTTGTGTGAGGGCCCAGTCAGATGTCCTTCAGGGCCCATTCACTAAAGGCTCCACTGGACTGGAGGGTCTGCTCCCAGGCCATGTCACTCGGGGCCTGGCTAGTCAGAGCTGACCATTGATGGGATGTCTCGGGTCTTCACCCTTGCGCCTCTGGAGAGGGCTGTTTGAGTGCCCATGGCTTCCATCCAGAGCGAGTGCCCCAAGAGAGAGAAGGCAGAAATGACAGTGTCTCCTGTGACTTAGCTCTGAGGGTCATATGGTTTAGTTTCTGCACTATCCTGTTAGTAACAGAGGTGGGGCCAGCCCTGTTCCACACAGGACAGGACTCGACAAGGAGGCAGCCTCTGGAACACCAGGGTCACTGGGGCGATCTTGGAGGCTGCCTCTCACACTCTGTCCCTGTAAGAACTGACTAGAGGCCGGCGCCGCGGCTCACTAGGCTAATCCTCCACCTTGCGGCGCCGGCACACCGGGTTCTAGTCCCGGTCGGGGCACGCGCTGGCCGCGGCGGCCATTGGAGGGTGAACCAACGGTACAGGAAGACCTTTCTCTCTGTCTCTCTCTCTCACTGTCCACTCTGCCTGTCAAAAACAAACAAACAAACAAACAAAAATTCTGCCTTTCAAAAAAAAAAAAAAACTGACTAGAGTCACCTGCAGGAAGGAGGACACAGTGAGTGAGGGCCAAGGGGAGGGTGAGGATTTCACATCTCTTGGTAGCCCTGACCCTCCAGGTGCAGGATGGCCTGAGGCCTGTGGGTCAGGCCAGTGTTGATGTGTCATAGGCCTGATGATTCGCACAAAGAACCCAGGATCCCTAAGAAACTTCAGGCAGGCAGCACTGTTGCCCCCCCACCCAACCCCCAATCCTATGGGAACTGGGCTTCAAGGGGGTTTTCTCTCTGATTTACAGACCCAGCTAGTGGGAGCAGCATCGACTGGGCATATGATAATGGCATCAAGTACGCATTCACATTTGAGCTGAGAGACACCGGGCACTATGGCTTCCTCCTGCCGGCCAACCAGATCATCCCCACTGCTGAGGAGACCTGGCTGGGGCTAAAGACCATCATGGAGCATGTCCGGGACCATCTCTACTAAACGGGGCGCCCCTCCCTGTCTACATCTCTCTGTGCACACACGGGGGCCACTGTTAAAGAGCTCATTGCTTCGCACGAGTCAGAGCCCTCTGGGTATGTGGAGACCTCGGGCCAGCCCTCTCCAGCCTGACTCCTTGGAGCTGGTGGGTCCTGGTGGTGTACCTGCGTGGAGGTCTCTGCCAGCCAGCTCTATCCTGGTCCTGCTGTTTCTCTGAGCCTTGGACACCTACCTTTTCCATATGGCTGGTCGGGCAAGCTCTGGTCAGAATCAGCCCCTGCTGGGTGACTTATCTCTACCTCATCTTTAGAAAAAAGAACATCTCAGATGGTTCCCCGGCCCCTGCACTTCTTGCCAATCCAGGGATCTTGCTCTGGTGGGAGCCACTCGGGGACAATGAGTATCTTTCAATCAGTCTCTTTCATCTTTCTCATTCCTTCTCGAACAGATTTTTCTTTGGGCAACCAGTCTTGTTGGGTCATCAGTATGGGTTTCCCTCTTCCCACTTTTTTTTTTTTTTTTTTTTTGTGTGTGTGTGTGTGTTTGGCTCACATGCCTTCATTAAGTTAAGGATCTACAGATACTACTGTTCGTATCAACTTGTTCTTTTGTTATTTGGCATAACAGATCCCAGCAGCCAAGCTGTGTCCCTGCAGGTGCTGTTTGTCCAAGGGTGTGGGGTAGAGCCATGATGCCATGCGGCATTGCTGACCTCCCAGTCTGTTCTGAGGGGCTCACCTCCACTTCACCTTTTGAACTCACTTCAAAGACCTTGCCCTCATCCTACACGTCCTAAATCACTCTCCAGGTCTGGATAATCTTACTGCCCCGGCACATTCCTGTTGGCTCTGCTATGCCCTGTGTTTCTTTCTCCTGTCTTTGTTTTGTTATTGTTTAATTTAGGTTTTATTGATTATTTTTCGGTCTCTGAGGTCACCTTCTTCTGTTTTGCATCCTGGACCACGAATCCTCAAGTGTGGCAAGAATTCACAGTCAGACACCCCTCATTCCATTTCTCCTCAGTGGGAACCATCTGTCCTTTTTTTGTTCTTTTGTTTTTGTTTTTTGCTCTTCTCAAACATGTCTGTAAATCTTAACCTTCTGCCTAGGATTTGTGCAGCATCTGGTGTGTGCTCAAAGGCCAATAAATATTCAATATGAGTCTCATGATCAAGCCCTATTCTTCGTCTTCACCTGAATGGAAGCAAACCATGGTTTTGAATATGCAACTCTTTATAATGGCAGAAGTCAACTTGAATCCCGGTCCGTATCGCGTGACACGTAGGAAGGCCTTCTCCATCAGGCTGAGGGCCTCTTGGGCAATGTTACCTTGGTGATTCATTCTGGTCCTGGGTTTAGTTCTTCGTTTCTCAGCTCAGGAGTTTGATATTCTCCATGTCTCTGTTGATGAGACTGGGGGATGCTGACTCACGCCTACCGAGCTCGGATGAGGCAGATGATAAAATCAGAATACGAATTTATTAATTTACATCATGGCATGTAACTGTTTAATGGATTGGATCCTCACGTCAGCCTGCACAGTACATTCTCTCCCCGCAGGCAAGACACATGGGAAGCCAAATTATAATCAGAAGGTTGCTTAGCGAGCGGGCGTCGGAGCAAGGAAAAGTTAATTACAGTCTATGATTAGAATTTTTAATGGTTGCAGCTCTGCTAGCATGATGTATCTAGTTCTGTACCAGAACACACCTGCCAGCCAGCCAGCTGGTCACTTGTGCTGGCTGCTCAGGGCTGTCTCAGATGGGACAGTGCTTTGGTAGTCAAGACAGTGTTGGCTCCCTTTGTGACTGCCCCGTCTCAGAGTGAACCTGTCCTTCCAGTTCCTTAAAGGAAGACTTCCTTATGAAAGAAAAAGATGGATAGCTGTGACTGTAATAAAGTCAAGCACTTTTGTTCATTGAAAGATACCATGGGGGAGGGCACCTGGTTTGGTGGTTAAGCTGCTGGTTGGGACACCGGCATCCCACACTGACGTGCTTGGGTGTGTTCTCAGCCCTCCTCCCGATCCCAGGTTCCTACTAATGTGCACCCTGGGAGACAGCAGGTGAAGGTTCGAGTAACTGAGTTTCTACTGGATTGGGTTTCTGGCTCCTAGCTTTGGCCAGGCCCATCCCTAGCCACCGTGGGCATTTGGGGGATTGAACCAGCAGAAGCTTGTTCTGTCTGTTTTAATGTTTGTCTCTTGAATCAATGAAAAATAAGGAAAGAAAAAAGAGGCACCATAAAGTGAGAAAACAAGTTATATGCTAAAAGAAGATATGCACAATATTGATAATATACACAAAAGGCAAAGAATATACAAATAACTTCTACAAATCAATAGAAAAGCTGTCTATAGAAAAATGGGCAAAAGATATGAGCAAGCAGTGCACTCCGGAGGAAGCAGGTGTATCTGATGAACACATGAAGGGATGATCAGTGACTAAGGACGTGTGAACTGAGACTGCAATGAAATGCTATCATATCCTCGCACAGTTCTCAACGATCAGGTTGGAGAGGAGGCGGACAGCAGGGTCGCAGACGTTAGTGCTGAGCAAGTAAGTGAATGAAAGCACTCTAGAAAACGGTCTGACATTGTTTTTTCAAGCTCACACCTTACGCTGCAGCCATTCCACCCCAGCCGTACACTAAGAAATTCTTGCAATTCTACACCAGGGAACATACATGAGCAGCACTGTTTGTCACAGCAAAGACCTAAAGCCAGATCAAAAGACCACCAGTGGGGGAGTGGGAATAGAGCATGAATTAGTATACAGCAGTCGGAACAAAACCTCACTGGTTGCTTTCCTAAAAAGTTCCAAACATCTGTATGCTTCTTGTATTTATTTTTTAAGATTTACTCATTTATTTGGAAGGCAGAGTTACAGAGAGGCAGAGGCAGAGGCAGAGAGAGAGAGAGAGAGAGAGAGAGAGAGAAGCCAACTGCATGCTTTTATAGAAGACATACAAATCTTGATAAAACTGTATGAAGGGGGAAACAGGACCTGGAGGACATACCCGGACCCCCCTTCCTCGTCACGTGCACAGATCCCCAGCTTCCAATAGTTCAAGGCTTTCTCCCTTTCTAGAGAATTCTCCCTGCCCCAATGGGGGCTGGCTCACCCAGGAGGCTGTGCCCGTGTTTTCCTTCTTACCTCCCAGAATGACTAACTGCCTGAGGGCATGAACAGCTAGTTCCTTGCCTCACGTTGGGGGCGACCCCTGCAGCTCCCCTGGGGGTCAGGGTGAGGCCCAGTCATCCTCGCAGGAGCATTTCCCCTCTCCCCAACCCCCTCTCCCTTCTCCAGAAAACTCTCCCTCGGCAGGTCATTTGTACAACAACCCTCACCTCAGGTCCTGCTTATAGGGAGGTGGTTTGGGACAAGAAATGAAAACCCTGAGATTCCAAATGACAGGGAAAGGCGTGGGAATGAGCTGGGAGGCAGGGCCTTTGGTCAGATGAAGGACCTTAGCTTTGTTTCAGGTTCTGTTTTGTCATGTATTTATGATATGATTTTTTAAAAGACCTATTTAAATAGCCAAATGAATAAAAGAGGGCTGTGCATGGATCAGTGATGAGTGTGCCATTAACCAACAATTATGATTTATCTTTTCTATGAACCTAAAATCTAACTTAAAATATTTATAGAGGTGTGTTTTAATAGAAATATTTAAAAATATTCATAAAGATATGTCTTGATGCAAATATTTTAATCATTCAAAATGCACTTATTTTCCATGTACCAGAGATGTGTTTGAAGGCAACACTGCAATGTCAATCAGGAAGACAAAATCCCTTCTTGCAAGGTGTCGCTCCCCCTCTTCGCGGAGGAACGACACAGGACCCTGCGCTGTTCTTTCGTCTGCTCGGCCCTCCCCGGGTTTGCTGCTGGTTCTTCCCGGGTTGGCTACCGTCCCTTCCACCTCCGTGGAAGGGCGGTTCCCCCTGCCACTTTCCCCACTTCCGCGGGGGAGCGGCACACCGCCGGCCGGCTCTCTCGGGGGCTGCACAGGTGTTCCTTCAGATAGATGTTCCTGGTGCATGTTGTCTCTCTCCTCCTTTATAGTCCTCTTCCACCAATCCCAACTCTGCTACCCACATGCCGAGCACGCTGCTCTCCTCCAATCAGGAACAGGTCCTGCTGTTTATTGGTTGAACTGGAGGCAGCTGTGTAGAAGCTGTTACTCCCTTCTCAGCGCCATATTGTGGGAGAGCAGATGCATAGAATAAGTCTTAATTCCAGTAACTTAGTCTAGTCCAAGTTGCTCCCAGTTGCTCTCCACAGCAAGGAATTTCATTGTTGTTGGAGAGGCGGGCAGTACTTCAGGAAACAACTTAACTAAAAAGTTAATTTGGGAAATGAGAGCTGCTATAAATAAAAGACAACCGGCTGGTCTAAGAGAGTGAAGGGTGGTAGTAGGCCTCTCTAGACTGGGAAAACCAGAGAAGACAGTACTTGGGCACATATTTTAAATTACTCCTAACTTAATTTTTGGTATTCTCGGTGTACATTCCCTAAACCGTGTGAAACAGGTGGGCTCGATTTTATTATTCAAATTTCATGGATGGAAAAATCTCAAGAGCAGTATTTCTTGCCCAAGATGAATAATTAATGTGTTCTCGTCTCTAAGCGAAGGCCCCATGGACAAAGAGAAAACTGGAGCCATAAACATTTGTGGGTGTTACCTACATTTCTGAAACACTTTAGGTTTGAAAGCTTTTCATGCCTTATCCTTTGATGAGTTATGGAAGCAACTGTAAGGAATATCCTACCAATGAGAACACCACGGAGGTTGGAAAAAGGAGAATCCAGCAATGATGGGAACAGTGTGTTTTGAATTCTTTCTGCAGTCCTGGGAGGGGTTTCTGTGAGTCATCCCCACCTCTCCTTCTGGGTATCAAAGTAAGAATCTGGGGCTGGCATTGTGGTACAGTGAGTTAAGCTACTGCCTGTGATGCCAGTATCCCTTATGAGCTCTGGTTCAAATCCCAGCTGCTCCACTTCCCATACAAACCCCTGCTAATGTGCCTGGAAACGCAGCAGAGGACAGCCCTTGTACTTGGGCACCCCTGCCACCACACGGGAGACCAGGATGGAGTTCCAAGCTCCTGGCTTGAGTGTGGCTCAGCCCTGGCTGTTGTGGCCGTTTGAGAGAGTGAACTAGTGGATGGTAGGTCTCTCTCTCTCATCTCTCTGTAACGTTGCCTTCCAAATATATACATCTTTTTTAAAAAAAAAAAAAAGACCTTCATGAAATGGCTAGTAGGCTAAGGAGCAGAGGCTGGGCTGTGGGTGGGCTTCCCTGTCATCCTGTGCTGCCCCCTGAAAGCACAGCCACTCACTGAGAAGGCACCGGTGAGCGGGGCACGCCCGCGTCTGTCCTCAGGGGCACAGGCGGAGTGGAGCAGCACAGAGGCCCTTGCCCTGCGGTGTGAACTCTGTGAGCCTCAGTTTCCCAGCTTTAGAATGAGAATAATGACAGCATCTGTGATGATCTGTCGGGAATTAAGTAAGCTGAGAACGGGCGGGCGCAGTGCTTTAGCTGGCCGGGAAAGCCCTCGGTGTGGGTGAGGGCTCACCAAGCGGTAGACCTTTATTTATGAATCAGGTTGTGGAAATAACCCGAAGTGTAAGATGTGCATGCTTTACATTTTCCACAAAACTTAATAGCAAAACCTCAACTGTTCACAGGAAAGCCACCCTCACTAACTGGATGTGGTGATTCTTAGTATTATTTGGGTTTTGAAATTCTGAGCTTCTTTTGCTGGGCACTTTCCCGGGTTGTGTTGATCGTGATGCCCCTTTAACCAGATGCAGACAAAGGACCACTGCAGACACTTTTGCAGGCCCAGCTTCCAGGCACAACCGCGTCAGGCTTCTGGGCTCACCTGGGAGTTTTACAGGCCCTGAAAAGGCCCTGCCGTAACTATTCTGGGTGAAGCTGAGGCTACGATCCAACATGGGAACGTCCTGTGTAGATTGCACTTCTTTTATGCTAGTATATAAAGACCAACTATGCAGAATCATTTTTATCACTCTCATCATCATCCTTATCTTTTTGTTTGATGAGGTCTGGAATTTTGCCAAGCCAGGCAGCTTGTAAAATAAATTCTCCCTGCTGTTTGTACTGAGCCTTAAATCATGAGCACCAGCTGTTCC